TTGTTTATTGCAATATCAGGAGTCTGGAGATAGGCCTTATTTTTAGGGGGGGATGCCTTATATTTCACTCAGAAGGAAACCTGTAAGTAGGTCTTTTTTCGGAGGATGTCTTATTTTGGGGGAAACACGGTATATAGGTCAAGTCATTACAGTCTGCTGGTATTATCATTTTGCTAGTTTGAATGAAGTATAGAAACTTTAACTTTATTTATGACCTTCTATTTTACCCCTATTTATGATACAATTATCTTAAATGTTTTCTCTACATACATTTAGAAACAAACCAGTGTTACAAAATGTTTTAATTACCAAAGATGATTTTAAAAATTTAAGATAAGGAAAGCTTCCCTCTCCCAACCCCTTCCTAATGTTTTAAGCTTCCATCTTTTATCATTTCCTTTCTATTTAGAGAAATCCCATTAGTGGTTCTTTTAGGGTAGATTTATTGGCAACAGATTCTTAGTTTCTGAGAATGCCTTTATTTTTATTTTTATTTTTTCTTCATTTCTAAAGTTTATTTTCACTGGGTATAGGATTGTAGGTTGATAGTTTTGTGGGGGGGTTTTAGCATTTGAAAAGTATTGTGCCACTTTCTTCTGGGCACTGTAGTTTGTGATAATAAATCAGCTCTTATTCAAATTGTTTTCTATTTTTTTATTTTAATTTTTTCATTGTGTGTGTGTTGTCAAAATTTTCTTTTTCTTTACTGAATATTTTTTCATTTATCTCAGGCATGTTTGTAATTGCTCATTTGAAGCACGGTTATCATGCTTGCTGTGTTTTTATCAGATTGTTCTAATAACAATTGGAATCTTTGGAATCTTTTATCTGTCCTTTTCATTCAGTTTAAAATCTTCCTGGTTCTTGGTATAACGAGTAATTTTTCACTTGAAACTGGACATATTCATAGTATGTTTTGTTAATTTAAATCTTCTGGTTTTGCTGGCTTTCTCTAACACTGCACTGGCAGGGAAAGTCAGGGACACTATCTCCTTACTGCCAAAGGAGGTAGTTCAGATTTCCCATGTCTCTATTGAGGATCACATACATGGAGATGGCAGTTTGGGCTTTCTGTGGTCTCCATGGTTATTGCATCGAGGTGATCTCACTACTGCTGGGCAATGATAAAAATCCCGACTCTCCTTGGCCTCCTCTGACATTCCCAGAAGGGGTGTGGAGAGCCACCCCTTTACTGTGGATTGAGCTGACACCGCAGGAGGAGGAAGTCTTCCTACCCAGAGGGGATAAAAGTCCCAGCTACCTACTTGGTAGGGGCTCCTCTTCACTTTCTCACCAGTCTCTTTGGTGTCTAGCAGAAGCAGAGCTGTTATTATCTGAAGGTTTTGTCTTTTAGGCTGTCTTTTCCTGGTCCTTTGGCTTTTGATGGGATTTTTTTTTTTCTTTTCTCTACCCAATGGTGTTTCTGTGTTGCCTGCTTCCTCACTTCCATGTTTGGGATATATGGGGCAAAAATTAAACCCAGGGAGTTCACCACTAAATGTTTCTTAGGACCAGGTTCTCTACTGTTCTGCCTTTTTACCACATTTCAGAGTCTTATGTTTATCTATACATGAGACACAAGAATTTTATTTGTGCTTAACATGATAAATAGGAAAAGGTATGGCTACTTTTCAGAAGCGACGTCTCTTATTCATGTCAAGAACATGTTTTAATTTCAGAATTGTGTTGTTCTTAACTTTCTTAACTTTGTGTTGTTCTCTACCTGTGTATATGGGTAGGCAAAAGTAGGTTTACAGTTGTGGGTATGCAAAATAGTTTATTCTTATAGCATTATTTATTAACTAGGGGCCCGGTGCACGAAATTTGTGCACTGGTGGGGCGGGGTCCCTCAGCCAATCCTGCCCCCTCTCACAGACTGAGAGCCCTCAGGAGGTGACCTACTGACGGGGAGTGGACCTAAGCTGCAGTTTGGCCTTCCTCTGTGGGAGGCGACCAGGCTGATCAGGGGAAGGCATCAGCCCCATCACCCCATTGCTGCTGCCACTGTCACAGCCGCCAAGGTGTTTTCATTAACACAGACTCCAGTCCCTTCACCATGAAAAAATGACAACTTTCTTTAGGCACTTTCAAGATGTGTCTTTCATAGGATAAGACTTTTTTTTTTATCCTCACCTGAGGATATGTTTTCATTGATTTTTAGAGAACTCGGAAGAGAGGGAAAGACAGAGAGAAATATCAATGTGAGAGGGACACTTCAATTGGTTGCCTCCTGCATGAGACCTGACCTGGGCCCTGGCTAGGGAGGAGCCTGCAACCTAGGTACATGCCCTTGATCAGAATTAAACCCAGACCCTGAGATTGCCAGGCCGGGCCTCTATCCACTGAGCTAAACTAGCTAGGGCAGGATATAAAATTTGTTAGCCCATCCAGCAGCAGACCTTACTTTTCCTCCCGGGGAGAGGTGGAAAAACCCTAAATCACCTTCTTGCATTCTTATTACTCAAGTTACCAAGAACACTGTGAGAGGCAGATTACAGGGAGCTTAGCCAATGGGCCTTCAGAAAAGGTGTTTCCACCCTAACCGATCTGGCTCAGTGGATAGAGCATCGGCCTGCGGACTGAAGGGTCCCAGGTTCGATTCCGGTCAAGGGCACGTACCTTGGTTATGGGCACATCCCCAGTAGGAGGTGTGCAGGAGGCATCTGATCTATGTTTCTCTCTCATCAATGTTTCTAGCTTTCTATCCCTCTACCTTTCTGTGAAAACTCAATAAAATATATTTAAGAAAAGAAAAGAAAAGAAAATGTGTTTCCTCTGCAGCTCATGCACAGAGGACCTCCTGCATTGTGTCTGCAGGGTTTCTGTCCACTGGGCTGGGGGCATGCCCCAAGCCACACTGCTGGGGAGCTGCTGGAAGCATGCCCCCAGTGCCCCGCTTTCTGTCAGCTGGGCTTCTGTCTGCTGGGCCGGGAGCATGTCCCAAGCCTCCCAGCGACTCTGAGCAGCCCCCAGCTCAGAGTCTGTCCGCTTGGCATGTCCCAAGCCGCCCAGCGACTCTGAGCAGCCCCCAGCTCAGAGTCTGTCCGCTTGGCATGTCCCAAGCCGCTCCGCAGTGGCTCAGAGCTCACCCCCACCCAAAACCCACTGGGCTTCTGTCTGCTGGGCTGGGGGCTTGTCCCAAGCCACGCAGTGTGGGCTCAGAGCTCACCCTCGCCCAGCACCCGCTGGGCTTCTGATAGCACGCCCCTGGCCTATCAGCCCAGCGTTCTGTCTGCAGCCTTCCTCCCCCTGAGACCTGGGAGTGGGATGCTGGCTCTATGGGCGTTGCTGTCTTTGTAGCAGAGTGATGGTTAATTTGCATATTACTCTTTTTATTAGATAGGATTTTTGTATTATAACTTATACCTACTTTTGCCCACCCTTATATAGAGAGTGCCCCTCCAAAATGTATACACACTGAATAACATAAAGGCAGTGTTTATTAACATACATTTTATTTTCAAAATGTAATAGAATCTAAAAACATTGTATATACATTTTTGGGGGGCATCCTGTATTACTTTTCCAGGCAATGAAGAGCAGGTTAATTTGAAATTTAAATGAATTCCAAAAAGCAAGCATTCATTGGGGGAAACACACCATTTGGCTTCATCTGTGTTTATTAGAGTCATATAGAGATGCTGTGTGGGGTGGTTTTTAATTTATGAGGGAAGATATTATAAGGGAGGATCACATAGTTATAAGTAGTCGGTGGTTGCCTCTAAATATTTTGCACTAGAAAGTAGTAAAAAGATAACATTATTCTTCGTGTAGTTAGAATAAACTGCTTACCTGGTACTGAGATGTTGTTAGTAGACTTCATTTTCTCAAGCTATCTTTAACAAGAGGTTACAGTAATTCTCAGGTTATGACTATCTCTCAGAAGATTGAGACTAAATAAAAATTTCAGAGCTTTGGTAGCTATCAAGAACTGTACACATATGATACTGCCGTAACTTGTCCTCCTGCAAAGACATACTCTACACTTATAGGACATTTTTACTTTTATAATTTGTAGAATCCTAGAATCTTAAAATTACAGAGATCTTTTATGTTAACTAATTTTGAAAATAATTTGGGAACTTCTATAATAGGTATAACTCGGTTGTTATGAAGGATACTTTACTATCTCAAGAGCAGGGCATTTATCTTAAATAGTTCTAATGTTTACCAGCCTCCTATGTGCATAAGAAGTCCCTCTGAGAGGATTTAGACTCTTATACTCTGAGACTCTTGGTCTTGTTTTCATTTGTGTCACTTTAAGAAATGGATGTTGCATTTACGGATGGCTCACAGTACTGGGTTTTTCCCCCTTCTTTAGTGACAATCTTAAACCAAGACTGTCTTGTCTTGTTACTTTATTTGGTAGAATTTTTGAAATTTAGGGGCCAGACTACATATGTTTTTTAGGAAATTTCTTGTTATTATATTGGCTATTATTTTCCCTTGCCCAGTCCTTCTCCACACTTTCCCAATCCATTTTCACTTGCTTTAGGTCATCAGAAAAGTGTTGATAAGGCAAGGCACTATGAGATATCTTCTACATTGGCATAATCCATTAATAGTAATTTTGGATACCTCTGTAGAAGATGGTATAAATAATGTCTCCTCTTCAAGTCAAAAATATTTTTTCCGCCAAAGCCGGTTTGGCTCAGTGGTAGAGCGTCGGTCTGCAGACTGAAAGATCCCAGGTTCGATTCCGGTCAAGGGCATGTACATTGGTTACAGGCAAATCCCCAGGAGGGGGCGTGCAAGAGGCAGCTGGTCGATGTTTCTCTCTCATCGATGTTTCTAGCTCTCTATCCCTCTCTTCTCCTCTCTGTAAAAAATCAATAAAATATATTTTAAATAAATAAATAAATATTTTTTTCCTGGTTTGGTTTGTTACTAGTAACTATGCATTGTTATAGATGACCTGATAATTTAGGTATGTTTTTCCATTTTAAAATATTTTAGTACTTGTCTTGATTTTATTTTACCTATTTTAAAAATATTCCCAGGAAATCCACTTACCCTGGATATATTGAACCTCTATCTGGAACCAGATGGAACAAAAAGGCTACTTAACTACTTGCTTGATAATTTGGCAGGTACTGCAAAAAGAAGTAAGTGGTCATTTATTTAAACCATTTTTTTAGGAAGACATATAAGAATATTGCTTAATTTTGTGTTTAATATTCAACTAGTTTCAACAGAACAACCACCTCCAAGATCTTGGATTATGTTACAAGAACCAGACAGAACAAGACCAACTGGTTGGTAGCATTATTTTTTAACGCTTATTTTTATTTGATATTTATAAACCTAACAAATCAGCAACTGTAGATTATGGGCAGTGTTACAGTAGAGTGTTTATAGATAATCTGATTTGGGTGTTAATAATAAAGATTTAATTCTTGCTCACCTGGCCTCTCTGTCACCTTAATAAAAAGTATGCTATACTGCCGAAACCGGTTTGGCTCAGCGGTGGAGCGTCGGTCTGCGGACTGAAGGGTCCAAGGTTCGATTCCGGTCAAGGGCATGTACGTTGGTTGTGGGCACATCCCCGGTGGGGGGGGTGCAGGAGGCAGCTGGTCGATGTTTCTCTCTTGTTGACGTTTCTAGCTCTCTATCTCTCTTCCTTCCTCTCTGTAAAAAATCAATAAAATATATTTTAAAAAAAAAAAAAAAAAAGTATGCTATACGGCAGTGCTCCTCAGCCAGAGATGATTTAGTCCCCAGAGCCCATTTGGCAATATCCGGAAGCATTTTTTGGTTGTCACACTGGCGAAGTGCTACTGGCATCTCAGAGATGCTACAAATATCCTGCAGTGCACAGCCCCCCACAATGCAGAATTTATACTCAATGTCAGTAGTGCTACTGTTAAGAAGCCCTACTAATAAGGTATTGATCAAATTCAGTTATAATGAATATACAAAAATCTTTTTATATTGGAAGTTTCTAAACCCTAGTATGTTCCAAATGTAACTGATACTTCAAAATTGAAAGATAGCCAACTTACTTGAGGATTGAATTAATGAACTCTGATCTCCTTTTAACTTAAATTGAATGAAAATAATTTGAGCCCAGCCAGTATCGCTCAGTGCTTGAGCAAGAGGTCGCTGATTTGATTCCCCGATTCCCAGTGGGGGGTGGGCAGGGGGCAGCCAGTCGATGATGTTTCTATCTCTTCAATGTTTCTGTCTGTCACTCTCCCTTCCTCTCTCACCAAAATTCAATAAAAACATTTTTAAAAAACAAAATAATTTGAGAACTTGTAACAAGATTTGGTCTGTGATATTTCTTTCCCCTGTGGATTAAAACCATTCTTTTTTAATATGTTTTATTGATTTTTTTAAAATATATTTTATTGATTTTTGTACAGAGAGGGAGAGAGAGAGTTAAAAACATCAATGAGAGAGAGTCATCGATCAGCTGCCACTTGCACACCCCCTACTGGGGATATGCCCGCAACCAAGGTACATGCCCTTGACCGGAATCGAACCCGGGGCCCTTCAGTCCCCAAGCTGATGCTCTATCCATTGAGCCAAACCGGTCCCGGCAATATTTTATTGATTTTTTTACAGAGAGGAAGGGAGAGAGATAGAGAGCTAGAAACGTTGATGAGAGAGAAACATTGACCGGCTGCCTCTTGCACATCCCCCACTGGGGATGTGCCCGCAACCAACTACATGCTTTTTTTTTTTTTTTTTTTTTTTTTTTTGTACAGAGTGGAAGGGAGAGAGAGAGAGAGAGAGAGAGAGAGTTCGAAACATCAATGAGCGAGAGTCATCGATCAGCTGCCTCTTGCACACCCCCCACTGGGGATATGCCCGCAACCAAGGCACATGCCCCCAACCGGAATCGAACCTGGGGCCCCTCAGTCCCTAAGCCGGCGCTCTATCCATTGAGCCAAACTGGTCCCGGCCAACTACATGCTCTTGACCGGAATCGAACCCGGGACCCTTCAGTCCGCACACTGACGCTCTACCACTGAGCCAAACCGGTTTCGGCTCCTCTGTGGATTAGTAATCATTCCTCTATAGAAGAAAACTAGACATGTCTATTAAAAAAAATAACTGTCAGATTTCCACATTTTACAATAATAGAAGGAGCACAAAAATGAGGAGCCTGATCTTAGAGGCTGAGAGCTCGAGATTTTAATGTTACCTTAGGAACCTTTTGTTCATATCTCTGTGGCAGGTAATACAGTCATTTCATAGTTTGTTCATGTATATGTCCTTCCTCATTATTTGACTTTATATTTGACTTCATTGAATATATGGAATCAATAAAGTCAAACAACATTTAAGTGAAGACTATTGAAAATAACTGTGTGCTTTATTTCTGCCACGTGTTGAATAAGTAAAGTTATCTTTCCTACAGCCTTGTTTTCTGTCATGTGCTATAATGTTCTTTGTGATAAATATGCGACCCGGCAGTTATATGGCTACTGTCCATCATGGGCACTAAATTGGGATTACAGGAAAAAGGCCATTATTCAAGAAATCCTGAGCTGCAGTGCTGATATCATAAGTCTTCAGGTAAGTCATCAGAAGTCACAACTTTAACAATTCTTAAAATAGTGGCTTTTTCTGTTTTTAGTGAATCCTGGAAGAATTCACTGCCTGTTTTGTTCTGTAGCACTGTGTTGCCAAATTAAGCAAATGGGTTAAGCTGGGTTTAAGCATTTACTATGACCGCCTAAATACCCGCCTTTCCCTTTGTAAGGCCCCATGCACACTGTCTTTTTAATTGAGTGGCAGTGTCACTGAAATTATGGTATTGCCAAGGTATGATTTTGTTTTACCACTAGTAATAATAGATTAGGGCAGAGTGGAAAGAGCATTAAACGTGGATGCACAGTAACTTCAGGTTCTCAGGCCATCTCTCATAACGTATACGACTCTGGGCGTCACTTTCTGCAGATCAGTCTTTTGAAGTGATTTTAAGCTCTCAGACTACATATATATGTATATCTAAAGTTAATGTATGTGACTGATTTTGTCTTATGAATAACTTTGCTGTTTGCAATTTTTCAGGAGGTTGAAACAGAACAGTATTACAGTTTTTTTCTGGTAGAACTGAAAGAACGTGGCTATAATGGATTCTTTAGTCCTAAATCTAGAGCTAGGACAATGTCAGAACAAGAAAGAAAGCATGTTGATGGCTGTGCAATATTTTTCAAGACAGAAAAGTAAGTCATCTTATTTTTTAAAAAGAAAATTATCTCTCTTTGCAGGGTGGGGACCAAGAGTATAGAAATTATTTGGCAAATGAAAGAATGAAGCATTCTATTATACTTAAGAAAATAGTACTTTTTACTTTAGAGGGTTTTATTTTATTTTGAATAATTAGAAATAAACTTGTTTTAAAGATACGTTGAAAGTGCTGCTGTTTCTTCAGGTGTTTAGTAGGGTTTAACTCCAATTGTTAATTGAAACACCTTGCAATTAACATTCCCTGCAGGATTCTTAAACCTATAATTTGGAAAACAATATTTAAAAATTACAAGATGGAATATTCCAACACAAACAGAAGATTATCCTAAGTTGTAAAGGTTAAAATCAAGATGTTATCAGTAACAGATTGAGAACAACTTTAAACGGGTGTGGGAAGCTTGGTGGTAAATGTGGAGGATTTCCATTATGTAATTTACATGCCATCATATCTAAGGAAGTTTGAAAAAACAGCATTTCCCACAAAGCTAATATCCTTATATTCACATTTTTATGTGTTTGTTTTTGTTTTAGATTTACTTTGGTTCAGAAACACACTGTTGAATTTAATCAGCTAGCAATGGCAAATTCAGAAGGGTCTGAAGCTATGCTGAACAGAGTTATGACAAAAGATAACATTGGAGTTGCAGTACTACTAGAACTTCGAAAGGAATTGATTGAAAAGTCATGTGAGTGACCTCTTCACTTCCTGTAAAATTGACCTCCAAAATTTAATAGGAAAAAAATTTGTTATGTATTAATAGTCTTGTTTAACACCTGAAGAAACTCAGTGAGAATTTAAATGGTTTCTAAACTATCATATCTCGTTTTCTCTATCAAAAAGCTTAAGGTGAGAGAGCATTGCCAAGCCAAGTATTTCAAACCTTGAAATGCATAAATCTCCCAAGAATTTTTCACATAAAAGAAAGGTTGAAGTAATAATTAGTTAAAATAATTCCTTAGAGAGAACTCGATGCACTTCTGTAATTTCTTGGCAGCAAGGATATTGTGTAAGCAAAATTCTCTTCCTGACCCACTTGTAATCATTTTTTTAAAGGTCTCATGTTTTGTAGAAATCAGCCACTTATTTCAAATAACAGTGGCCATCATGCTGAGAATTGAAATTTCTGTCATAGGAACAGTTGGAACTGCAGTTATGTAAATTGAAGGATAGAAAGATGGAACGTAGTGACCGTCTTAAATACAGCTTAAGAAAAGAGAAGATTTAATTGTATGAGGCTTGATTTAATACATCTGAATTAAGACCAGAAGTTTCAAGGAGATATACCTACTTAAAAACCACGCTGTTCCAAATAGAATGGGCTGTTTTTGATCAAGAAATGAATACCCTATGTTAGAAGTACACAACCTGAGGTCTAAATGGCTATTTCTCAGGTTTGTTGTAGGCTAGATTAAGTCATTATGTGAGAGATTTATTATGTCAGTTTTAGAGTCCTTAAGACTCTGAGATATTACTTGCATTCAGACCCTGTAAGAATATTTGGGTTGATAGAGGGGTTCTGTTTTCTTTTTAGCGAACACAGCAGGAAAGCCACATCTTGGAACAGAAAAACAACTTCTTCTCGTGGCTAATGCTCACATGCATTGGGACCCTGAGTACTCCGATGTGAAGTTAGTTCAGACAATGATGTTCCTCTCAGAAGTGAAGAGCATTATTGATGAAGCCTCTCGAAGCCTCCACCCAAGTGCGCTGGGAGAGCTGGGGAACATTCCACTGGTGTTGTGTGCAGATCTTAATTCCTTGCCGGACTCTGGTAAGAAAAGAATGTTCGTCTGTGTAGAATGCTTTTTGACTTAAATGTTTTTATAATGTATTATTTCTGATAATTCCAAATTTAGTGCAAACAAATTCAGTTTGTAGTGGCAGCTGTGAATCAAGTTTAAAATTTTTTTGGAATAGGGGGACCATTTTGAAAATGAAATAGTATGAAACCTCAAGAGGAAGGACATTAATCATCTTTGATAAACACATAGATAGTAACTTGGAATAACTCATTAAAGAACATGTCATTTTGTTTTAATATCCCCAGTATATAAAAGTGTTGGCAAAAGTGGGGTTACAGTTGTTTATATGGAAAATCATACAATAATTAATAAATAATACAAGAATAAGCTCTGTGTTTTGTGTACTCACAGTTGTAGCCCTACTTTTGCCTGTCCCTGTGTATAATCCAGGCTGAAAGGGTTTTAAGACAGCCTCTTTGGGATTCCAACATGTAATATGATCCAGTTTAAATTTGATCATATAATTCAGGATCTCAAATTTTGGTGGGCTTGATTTAAAAAATCCACTGCAGGTGGAAATTGAAATTCTTTATTTATACAGATCAGGCAAGTTATTTTAACAAAAAAGAAAAGGAATTTTTATTTTTATCACAAAGTAGAAGATTACAGAAAGCCATATTCTTAAAACTTTTCCATAGATGGTACAGTGAATGAACCATCCTATATAATAAAAGGCTAATATTGATATGCAAATCGACTGAATAATAGAACAACCTGTGATGATGTGGACTGACCACCAAGGGGCAGGCACGCAATGTAGGAGCTGCCCCTTGATGGTCAGTGCGCTCCCACAGGGGGAGTGCTGCTCAGCCAGATGCTGGGCTCATGGATGGCGAGCCCAGCAGCAGTGGCAGGAGCCGCTCCCACCTCCATGGCCCCACTAAGGATGCCGGGTTAGGCCTGCTCCTCTGCTTAGGCGGACATCCCCCAAGGCAGTGGTCAGCAAACTCTTAGCAGAGCCAAATATCAACAGCACAATGATTGAAATTTCTTTTGATGCCAGGACCGGTTTGGCTCAATGGATAGAGCGTCGGCTTGGGGACTGAAGGGTCCCGGGTTCGATTCCGGTCAAGGGCATGTACCTTGGTTGCGGGCATATCCCCAGTAGGGGGTATGCAAGAGGCAGCTGATCGATGACTCTCTCTCATCGATGTTTCTAACTCTCTATCTCTCTCCCTTCCTCTCTGTATAAAATCAATAAAAATATATATATTAAAAAAATAAAATAAAATAAAATAAATAAAAAAGTGATTCCTTTAAGGCTAGTAGTGGGTGGTTTGATAAATTTAAGAAAGAAGTGTTTGTTTATAGATTAGACATGTATTTTATATAAGAAAGGTTAAAACTGAATCATTTGAGGGTCTGAAACAGATGTCTTCCAGTTTACATTATTTCTAATGGGAAAAAGTGATTCCGTTTTCAAACAGCCTTCTGGAACGAAGTAAGCTCACGAACCAATGTTTTGTTTTTGTTTTGTTTTTTGTTTGTTTGTTTTGTATTTCAACTCTTTGTATCTAAGATCCATAATTATTTAGTCTCTCTCATCAAGCTATCTGGGCATTACTAGGACTGAAGAAATTGAGAATTATCCCCTGGCAATTTCTCTTAACATGCCTCCCACCCCCTGTTTAGCTGCAAAGTATCCTAGGGGCAAAGAGAGACTTGCCAAATCATTCAGATTCAAAAACCCATTTCAGTGTTTAAAACATAGTAATTTTCCAATTGAAAAATGGGCTAAAGACCCAAATAGGCATGTCTCCAAAAAGGATATACAAATGGCCAATAGACATATGAAAAAATGTTCAAAGTCATTAATCACCAGAGAGTTGCAAATTAAAACTATAATGCAACATCACCTCACACCTGCCAGAATGGCTCCCATCAGAAAATCAACAAACAGCAAGTGTTGGTGAGTATGTGGAGAAAAGGGAACCCACACACACTGCTGGTGGGAATGCAGACTGGTGCAGCCACAGTGGAGAACAGTCTGGAGTTCCTCAGAAAATTAACAATGGAGCTGCCTTTGACCCAGCCATCCCACTTCTAGGAATATATCCTAAGAAACCAGCAACACCAGTCAGAAAGGGTATATGCACCCCTGTGTTCATAGCAGTGTTCTTTATAATAGACAAGATCTGGAAACAACCCAGGTGCCATCAGTGGATGAATGGATAGAAGAGGTGTGGTACGCTTACACTATGGAATGCCATGTGGCTTTAAAAAAAGAGAGAAGAAGAAGAAACAAAACCTTTATGCAGCATATGAAACTGGAGAATATTATGCTAAGCAAAATAAGCCAGTCAGACAAATACCATATGATCTCACTTATATGTGGAATCTAATGAACAAAATAAACTGACGAACAAAGTAGGATCATCAGTATGGAAGCATGGAACAGACTGGCAGATCTCAAAGTGGAGGGGAGGGTGGGGACTGGAAGAAATTAATCTAAGAACATATATGCATACATAGATACTGACACAGACAACAACATGATGAAGGCTAATGGAAGGGGGCGGGCAAAAAGGTGGGTAGAAATGGGGGGCACATGGAATAGTGTCAACGATTTAAAAAAAAAACAGTATTTTAATAGCAAACATAGGGAAAATGTCCAAACTTGCTAAATTTTTAAAAATATATATTTTTAGCCCTAACTGATTTGGCTCAGTGGGTAGAGCATCAGCCTGCAGACTGAAGGGTCCCAGGTTTGATTCTTGTCAAGAGCACATGCCCAGGTTACAGGCTCAATCCCTAGTGAGGGCATGCAGGAGGCAGCCGATCAATGATTCTTATCATTGATGTTTCTCTCTCCTTCTTCCTTCCTCTCTGAAATCAATAAAAATATATTTAATAAATTAAAAAGGGAATATGAATACTACCCTATTTATTTTAAATATTTTATAGGAAGGGTGGGTAGAGAGAGAAAGAGAAATATCAGTGAAGAGAGAGAATCATTGATTGGCTGCCTCTTGCACGCCCCTTACTGGGCTGAGGATTGAGCTTGTAACCTGGGCATTTGCCCTGACCTGGAATCAAACCATGACCTCCTGGTTCATAGGTAGGTAGATGCTCAACCACTGAGCCACTCCAACTGGTCCAACCTCGCCAATTAAATGGAAACTAAAATATATGTTTGTAGAGCTCATCTTGTGCTTTGGAAATTGGGGAAATAAAGTCCAGGGATGGTAAACTTGCTTTGTAACTAACTGGTGGTATTCTCTTTCATAGTTGCCACTATATATAATAGGACAATGAATTCTAATCTTGCTATTTTATACCAAGTAAAAAATTTAGGCTAATAAAACCTACATACTAAGATGTTGATTATGGTGTTAATTCTTTTTAGGAAGTAGAAACAGGCTGAGTTTTTAAAAAAGGGAAGGAAACTAGTTTTAACAGATGTTATGCTCCAGCTCTGCCTGTTGTATTGTACAGCCATGTAAAAAAAAATAGCCCTGGCTGGTTTGGCTCAGTGGATGGAGCATCGGCCTGTGGAGCAAAGGGTCCCAGGTTCAATTCCAGTCAAGGACACATGCCTGGGTTGTGACCTCGGTCCAACCTGCAGGAGGCAGCCAATCAATGACTCCCTCTCATTGATGTTTCTATCTCTCCCTTCCTCTCCCTTCTCTGAAATCAATAAAAATATATATATTTTAAAAATAATAATGAAAAAAGTGGTTCAGTGTGCTCAGTGGTTTGTATGAACCAGGAGGCCACGGTTTGATTCCCAGTCAGGGCATATGCCCGGGTTGTGGGATTGATCCCCATTATAGGGCAGGTAGGAGGCAACGGATCAGTGATTCTCTCTCATCACTGATGTTTCTCTCCCTCTCCCTTCCTCTCTGAAATCAATACATATATATATATTTAAAGGTATTTGAGACTACACATAGTTCATGTAAAACGGTAAAGTGAAGTATAAAATATTCAGTATACTATAATTAAAACCATGTACAAATGGATTTTTAAAAATATTTTTATTCATTTCAGAGAGGAAGGAAGAATGAGAGAGAGAAATATCAATGAAAGAGAATAATTGATCTGGGCATGTACAAATGGATTTAGACAAGATCTGGCAAATGTAAAAATCCATTTAATTTTTTAAAAAATTTATTTATTTATTTTATATGTGCCTCAGACATGAAACATCTCTGGCCACCCACACAGGCATCAGCTAGGATAAACTAAGGACTGTACATCTGCTTTGCCCATTGCCAGGGGGTTAAAACTCCATTTTAAAACTCAGATTTTAGAAAGTATAATATAAAACTACTTACAATTGAATTATCTTTTTAGTTGTGTTTTATGCAGCATATGTTATACTTGATCTTGTAAAAAGTCCATTTATTTTCATTCTAGGTGTTGTAGAATATTTGAGCACTGGTGGAGTAGAAACAAACCATAAAGACTTTAAGGAGCTGAGATACAATGAAAGTCTTACGAACTTCAGCTGTAATGGGAAAAATGGGACCACCAACGGGAGGATCACTCACGGTTTCACGCTGAAGAGTGCGTATGAGGCTGGCCTGATGCCTTACACAAATTACACGTTTGATTTCAAGGTGAGCTTTGGAATTAGTAAACTTGTAAAAACTTCATTTTTTAAAGGAGAGTCTCATTACTTTGTCAAGTCTTTAAAATGTGAGTGTGTTCAGATTAGGCAATCTTGAGTTGGTTTATAGGAATATTCTAGAAATTAGAATCATTTCATCTTTTGGGGTCAGTTATGTTTTTATCGGCTCGATACAAAGCTGGATTTGTCAGACCACAGGCCTCAGGTACGGTCATTTTTTCCATCATCTCATTATAATGCTGATGAGATGCCATGGGACTTACCTCTTGTTTATGTCAACTAGACTCTGGTAAAATTCAGTTCATTATACGTTGTTTTGCTTAAAGTTGCAGAACCTACCTAGACATTGAATAAGGACTTACTGTATCTAGTTTGGTGTCAGTTGGGATGAGCTGTTCTGTCTCCAAGTTAATTAAACTGAAACCTACTCCTTGAGTACTAACATGTAGTTTATTGTTGGTCATTTTTAAGTTGCTAGAATATATTTGTATGCCTTATAGTCGACAGCTTACAGTGTAGAGACTTTCCTTAGTGATTCTCTTTACTTCTAGTATCAGTGGTTATTTAGGGTTTGTGTTCAGCTGTCCTTTCTAGCCTCCTTTTGCGCTTCTGCTTTCTTGTATCCTAATCTTCCATTTCTACCCTGATGGAACACGAATCGTTCAGGTTGGATTATTTATTAGAGTGCAAATACTAGTGTTAACTGGTTCTTAATTTTGGTGGGGAGGGCTCTTTAGACTCTTTAAAGAAACTGTTGAAAGCCATGAATAGTTTTTTATTTGACTTTGGGAGATCCCCAGAACTGTAGGTTATTATGTAGTCCTGGTAACAGGAGTGTGTGGAGTTGAAGAGAGATTAGAGTAGACTCCAGGAAAACTGACATGTAAATGGCAAAAGCCATACAGGGGAAACCAGGACGGCAGGAGCTTGTCTGCCAAGGAAATAGGCCTTTCTAGGAAACAGCAGTGAAGGGTGAGCTTCAGAAAGATGCTGGCGAGAGGTGTTTCGGGGAGCAGTGGGCAGGAACTGATGGTAAGGTAGTAAAAACTAACCTGGAGATTTACTTCAGACAGCCTGATGGAAGAAGTACGGGTGATAACTCAAAGGTGGGAGAGATTAGGGATTTGTTTTTCTTCTTCCTGCTAGTGATGTAGAGATAGGAAGGAGACCTTTGAATATGTTTAATACATTTGGCCAAGAACATGTAGAGGAGCATGTGAAGTTACATGGAGGACAGGAAAAGTCGAGAGGTGCTTGGCTGTGTGCTTGGTGCTGCTGAGGACATGCAGGGCAGGGACAGGCTGGTCTCAGCTACGTAAGTAAGTAAGTAGTAGGGTACACATTAGCATGGGAAGAGAATCGGAGTGGTGGGAGGTACTATTTAAAGAGGCTAGTATGGCAAAGGGGTAGTAAGGAAAGAGAAGCAGAGGCCTATCACAAAAGATCCTTTATGTCTTATTAAAAATTCTGAAAGGATCCAAATAGGAAAATGAATGGTTGAAATGCTTAAACAGTCTTTCATTCTTTAAGGTTTGACATTGGGGGACCATTTGGCCCAGGTGGTACTGCCTCTTCCCACTGCTAATGAAGTTTTTACGAAACATGCCTGAAAGGGTATGTCGTGAGAGCTTTCGGTATTTCATTGTTGTCTAATGTGGGGTCTTTTTTTATTATTATTTCCTTCTGGTTTTCAGGGTATAATTGACTACATCTTCTATTCTAAGCCTCAGCTGAACACCTTGGGCATCCTGGGACCTCTGGACCACCATTGGCTAGTTGAGAATAATATCAGCGGCTGCCCACACCCACTTATCCCCTCCGACCACTTCTCACTTTTTGCACAACTGGAGCTCTTACTGCCATTCCTGCCCCAAGTTAACGGCATTCACCTTCCTGGCAGGAGGTAGTGAAGCACCTTCAGAAGACGACCTCAGTTTCACTTGTAAACTTATATAAAAAATCTGAAATAGGGGAGTGAGATACGGCCATTAGGGATTTTTTTTCTTAGTGATGATTTGAGGTTTCAGTCTGATTATTTGACAGGGATATAGTGTGAAAGCCAGGTGCTAGCAGCAGACAAATTCTGAGCCCAATATGCTTTCTATACTGTTGGACAGGGGTGGTGTGTTTGCACCTATCTGTGATTTGTTACCAGTAATTTTCCTGTTTCTTCCATCTAATACAGTATTTTCATGCCTTGAAATAGGAAAATGTTTGAACAGCATATTCTCTTTGCACAGAAATCTATAGTACTACTTTTTTGAGGCCAGTAATAACATCCAGAGACCATTCTTCCATACTTTACTCCCTTCTTTTTCAGACATACTTGTAAAATACAGAATTTGAATTTAGCCTTTATGATTGTATAATGATCCACAGAAGACCTGATTTATGAAATTTTGTACTAAAAAAATCAGATTTGGAAATGATTGTATTGTAAATTAAGGCTAAGTTTTGTTTTGTGTGTGTTTTTTACACCGGTTTCATGTGTTATAAAGGCCACCTTGTAAAGAAGCTGCAACAGACTTTCTCTGTTGAGGAGTTGCACTGTTGCGTTTCCTTGGCTGTTTTGTGCTACTTTATTATTAAATGGAGAAACTTACTCTTTAAACCTATTTAAATCGTAGGACATTTTTTCATGAATTCTGGGTTTTTACAAAAACTGTATCTACCAGGACACATAAGCCGAGCAGTGATGATCTGTAGGCATTTCTGGACTGAATATAATGATATATGTACATTCTGATATTTTTAAATCTTTAACTTTTTTTAAGTTAAAAAATTGCAGCTGCTTAGGTACAGCTTTTTAACTCCTTTTTGAGAAACCTCCTGTCTATCTCCACTGTGCCTGCCTAAATTGTTCTCACCAAACACTGCCTGTGCATGCAGAGAAAATCTGTGCATCTTCTTTTATAGTTTTTAAATACTGTTGAACATTTGTGAGGATTTTATGGAAATGCTTTTGTATGAGCTGTGACTTTTTTTCCATTGCAAAGCATTGAAGATCACATTTTGGACTTAGGGTGAATCCCTGGGTGTTTGCTCACTAGACCCAAGCACTGCTTCTTGGTGTCACTCACAGTGCTGTCACCCAGAATACTGCTATCATGTGAAGTCTTTTGTTTTCCATGTATTCCTTAGCCTCCATGTTTTTCTTTTAAAAAATCATTCCTTTTTTTTTGGTAATTTTCCGTTTATGAAACAGTTATAAATGAGATGTATTTTCAAAACAGGTCCTTAAGGCAATTCTTCAGATCATTTTTGAAGTGACTAAGCTATTTTAATATGTCAACCAAGATAAAAGTTATATTATACCCTGTATATTTGCCCATAGTGCCATTAGTAGATTAGAAATTAAAACCAGCTTTAACTTTACAAAGTTAACTCATATGTATTTTGGTCTCATTTATTATCTCAAAACTAAAATTAATCCAGAGGGAACTTGGTCCAACTACTTTTGTTTCAACTGCAAGCAAGGGAGGAAAAGAACACCATGTGAGCATTAGGGTGAAAAATGGTTAAATGATAACAATTTTTACACAGAGAATGAATCATTTTTTATGATAACAAAATTTTATGAAAAAATATTCAGCACATAAATGTGCTTATTCTGTTTTTAAGAGAAACTTTACATACTGCTTAAATAATTTTTTTTTCTTTTAGAAAAAAATTCTCCAAAAGTTGTTGATCTTGAATTTTTGTCTGGGACCTAGTTTCTTCATTGAGGTTTTTTAAAGATTTTGTTGTGATGGATTTATTTTTATTTTTATTTTTTGCTTTTTGTTTAAGTTGTGCTGACACCAAACACATTCAGTTTATAATCAGTACATTGAAAAATTGGTGGTATTGATGTAGAACCAATGCTTAACTTTTTTGGGGGGTTTGGTTTAATTTTTTTTTTTTTTTTTTTTTTTTTGTAAAGTGTGAATAAAGGTGTGTTTACTCGTTTTTCCTAAACACTGTGTTGGTAATGTGCATCATGACAGTTTCCAGAGAAGGCTATCTGGAGCTGGTTGGACCGACGAAACAAAGGAACCTTCTTTTCCTCTGGCCTACCTTATGTAACAGCAGGTCCAGAGAGCTTTATGGAACGGGAGGGGAGCGGCACTTACTCATTTTGTATTTGTTGATGGAGGATGTATTCTTTTCATGGATGCTGGGACTAGAGAACTAGAGTGCACTTGTTAGAAGCTAAAGGTTTGAGCTTTATAAAGAAAATGTCTTCATCTGTATTTGTTATTGTTATAATATATTTGAACTGGGGGGGCAGGATAGTATTAACATTGTTGATACATTGGCCTGTTATGTCTTGAAAATATTTGTCCTTGCCTCTTCTAGGCATTCTGCATTCTGTACGGTCAGTTTGAACAGCTTCTCCACCTTATTGAGATAGTGATGAATTGATCCAAGAGTATAGACTTACAACTATAACCTCCAAAAGAAAAAGAAATATTTTGAATCTGTAGGGAATCAGCAGTCACACCAAAATAGACTGTGATACTTTTGTTAAGCAAGGTTTTGTGTTTTAAATATTTCTGTGTCCTGAGTAATTTTCAATCTATACTCTAAAATGCAATAAAAACTAATATGTTTTCACAGTATAGATTTTTTCCCCCAGAAATTCTGTAACAAATACATTTAATGTGTTGCCATAATGTAATTTCATTGTTCTTGCTGGATATATCCATGTTATGAATGTTTTACAGAAAACTTGGGCTATGTTTTCTGTTTTAACGATCAGAAACTTGGAGGCATTCGATTCCTTGTTGTGGTAATTATTTATGCTTTGAGAATTTAAATTATGTTCATTAAAATTAATTTATGGCATAATTTAAACTAAAGTTGTAGATATGAAATGTTGCTTGCAACTTTAATCATCCTAGAAGATAGTCAAGGAACGTCTCCCAAGAAATGTGTTTTTATTTTTACCTGATTTAATGACAGCTAGGAAAACTTCTTTTGAGTTAGCACTTTGAAACCTAAGGACATTATTAATAGGGTGGAATGCACTTTTAAATGTTGAAATTAAAATATCAAAGCTCTTCCAATATGCAGGTGTTCAGTAGTAAATCCCAGTTTTAATATTCCATTTTTTACTAGTTAACGTCATAGGATTTGTTTCCATAGTGATTTTTAAGGTTTTGGAGTCATGACAAATAAAGACAAAGCCAACCTAGGCAAAGAACTCCAGTTCTTTAACGAACCGTCTGAATGCGCAGAGCAAGCGCTGCAGATAACTGAGAACACTGTCAGCAGCGTTTCTCTCACACTCGATAGTTCCTCAGGACGTTCACTTTACATAGCTGGCATGTTGAAATATCTAAAATGGAGTATCTGGTTTTTATTCGCAGTACATTATATTGTGTGATGCACTGGGCTAACTTTGGTTTATTCACCATTCATGTAACAGAGCCCAGCACATGATCTGCACTAAGCTCAAAGAATGTTTGCCTAGGCAGCTCTTTGATAAGGGTAATGGGAAACTGAATATGTACCGATGGACCAGAGGTAACCAGGGCTTTTACTGTTATTTTCAGTGGAACCTTCTTGGTCAAATTGTAACTAGCTAGTATTATATTTATATACAGGGTCTCTTTTCTTTACCAATGTATTTTCCTACTCATAGCCGACCAATAAATTCAATATTTGTTTCAAATATTTTAAAAGTGTAATTTGTATAGCTGTAGTACTGAGGTTTGAGAAAATAAATGTTAATCAGCTGGCCACATATTTAAAATTCTGAGTAATCTGGGGAAGGGTTATAACTCGCCCATTGAAAGGGAAGAGTGATTGGGGGACAGACCTTGATTCTGTAGAAATGGTATAAACTTAAGGATTCCTTTAAAGGCTGTATCATTCCATTAAAACTCATATCTTTGCCAAAGTTCAGTTTTATATTTAGGCAACTAATGGTCTTTTGCATTGCGGATTGTTGTTATCATATACCTCATAATGACTTCGTATGTCTTCCATCTTTTGGAAGGATATTGACATATTTTAAATAAATATTTTTAAATATAGCAGCAAATATTGTATTGGTGGGATTGTACTAATTACATTAAATGTTTTACTTGTTACATGTATGTTTTGTTGTATATAACCTCTTTAAATGAATGACTTCCCAAGTCTTCAGGACGTTATCTACATTTACTTTTTAGAAACTACTTCTATAACAAATAAATGTAAATTTTTATGAAGATATTGGAAAAATCATTTAAAATCAGGAGACAATTTAGATAAAAATGTTTTGCTGAGATGTCCACTTTTTAAAATAGGATTTTTCTACCTATATTTTAATATATAATTTTACCATATTTCTTCTTATAACTCTAAAAATGTGTTAAAAAAAAGTTAATGATGTATGTTTATATTACTTTATAAATTCTAGTTAATGTTCTTTAGAGGAGCAAGTACTTGAAGAAACATGAGCTGGAATACATTTAGAATAAAGTTTTCAGGTTTTATGTAATAATGTTATATATACTGAGAATTTCTTTGTTGTGTTTAGTTACTCATATCTAAATTAATTTTAAAAATAAGTTTTCACAAATATTGTAATGACAACTTTAGTATAAGGTTATAAGGAGAATTTTTGAAAGTTTTTACTAGAATTTTAGGAATATTTCTGGAAGCTAATTTCCTCCAAAAAAAAAAAAAAATGTGCTAAGTAGATTGTTTCCCAAATGAGTCTAACCGGTTTGGCTCAGTATTGGTAGAGCATTGGTCTGCGGACTGAAAAGTCCCAGGTTCGATTCCGGTCAAGGGCATGTACCTTGGTTGTGGGCACATCCCCAGTAGGGGGTGTGCAAGAGGCAGCTGACCGATGATTCTCTCTCATCGATGTTTCTATCTCTCTATTCCTCTCTCTTCCTTTCTGTAAAAAATCAATAAAAAGGATGAAATTAATCACCTAAAATGTCAAAGTTTTTAAACAGTTTATAACAAGCTATGAGCTTGTATATTTTGGCTTGTATTTCCATACAGAAAACACTAATGGACATGCTTTTTTAAAGTATTATGGAAATTGTGTTGAAAAAGTCTAAAAATTTCACTTAATGAAAAGTGAAATTTCTTCCGGTAAGCCTGCAATTACCTATAGAGTACAAGACCTAGCACTACTAAGATCAATTGATTCAAATTTTGAAAAATTGAAAGTATTTGTTATCTTTAGATGAGTTCTGTAATACAAAAGACACTGTCTAGTACTTTGTGTATGCTTGCTGTATCTTAAAGGACTTCCATTTACAAAGAAATGTGAATTCTGACCCTAAAATAATCTAAAAACTTAGGACAGGTATTTTGCATCTTTCACATCTGCCAAAGAATTTCTACTGAATATGGAGAAGATAGTTACTTTCAATAGATAGTGCTTTAGCTATTAGGTAAAAAAAAAACTGGATATATGGAATTTTTAAAGGAGCCTGGATTTCTCTTGCTTGCTTCTGTTATGTGTTAACTTTGTGGTGCTTATTGAAAATAACTGCACTCAGTTTTCTGGAATACACTCTTTTGACTGTTGTTAAAATTGTTCAGTAAAAGCAAAGGGGAAATCTCTGGAATTAGATAAAAAGTAAAATGGAGAGAGACTTTCTACATTGGATAGTTTAATAACTTTTACAACACAGAGATGGTATGAAGGGAACAGATGTCAATGTAGTCGCTGCTCTGGTCGCTACTTAAGGTAAGATTGACCTTTGCCAAGGAAGTTACAGGTGAAGGACTTGACTACCACTTGATTTTAATTAAGGAATTTTTGTGTTCAGACCTTCCTATGTGGTTACTTTCAGTTGCTGTGTTGTAAGGCCTGCCATATAGGCCACCTCTGAGTTCCACAGTTTTAGTAAGCGGCCACTTCTTCATCCACAGTTCCAATTTAAGATTATCTTTCAACAAAAGGAATACTTGCCAAATATTCAGTAACCAAAGGCAAACTTGTCAGTGTGATAACATTTTCTCAGTGACATGTCACTGCATAAGACAATGTCACCTTCACAGACAGATACAATAAATTATATTGAAACTTAATTGTACAAATCATGAATGCTAATTTTTGCACATCTAACATTTATAAATTTTAACTTGCCAGCATTTTGTGGATTGGTTGCAAAGTTTACAAGAAAATGTTGAACACCTGATAGAGTTGCTTTTCAAATTATTCAAATACCCCTTTGAATTTGATGTTAATACAGAGTTGACAGAATTAGTAATGGGATAGAAAAGTTTTTAACTTGAAGAGAAATTGACTAAGTTTTTGCTATAAAGACTCATATAAAAAAAGTTTACTTGATAGTGATCAAAAAATTTTAATGATTTTTGAGGATTTAATTCTGTTACGGGAAACAAGTGTATTTGGAACAATTTGGATATACTTTTTCAGTTATATTTTATGAAATTGAGTATGAAAATCATTAAAGAAATTGAATTGTTACACTAGGAGGTAATGCAAACAAATAGTACTAAAGGTGAATAGAGGGGGGAAAATAATACGTTGAAAAAAGTAAAAGGCAGACATAAGTCCAATAATATTAAATGTGATCACATTAAACAACCTAATAAAAAGAGTAGATGGGATAAAACACAGTCCAACTATATGCTGTCTATGGGAGGTGGGTTTTAGATTCAAAGATACAAATAGATTTAAAGTAAAAGGATGGAAGAGGGTTTCAAGCAAACACCAAGTTTGAGGGAATATACTAATAGACAAAATAGACTTGAAAACAAAAAGTTACTAGAAATAGCTGAAACCGGTTTGGCTCAGTGGATAGAGCGTCGGCCTGCAGACTGAAGGGTCCCGGGTTCGATTCCGGTCAAGGGCATGTACCTTGGTTGCGGGCACATCCCCAGTAGCGGGTGTGTAGGAGGCAGCTGATCGATGTTTCTCTCTCATTGATGTTTTTGACTTTCTGTCTTTTCCCTTCCTCTCTAAAAAAATCAATAAAATATATATATTTTTTAAAAAGTTACTAGAAATAAGGGGACATTTTTAAATTATGAGCAACACTAAACACTGAAAGCAACCCCAAACTACATGAAGTAGAAACTGACCAAATATAATAATCCTATATAATAAAGAGGTAATATGCAATTTGATCCTCATGCCCTTGCATCACAAGATGGCCACCCCCACATTGTCACAAGATGGCCAGCAGGGGAGGGCAGTGGAGTCCCCTCAGCCACTTGGGGCCAGCCGAGGCTTGCGCTGCCAGCAGTGGCAGCAGCAGAGGTGTGATGGGGGCGTCGCCTTCCCCTGATCGCCAGGTCGCCTCCTGCCCCTGAGGGCTCTGGGATTGTGAGAGGAGGCAGGCTAGGATGAGGGACCCCCTCTCCAATGCATGAGTTTTCATGCACTGGGCCTCTAGTAAAAAAGTATTAGTTATTCATAAACTTCTCCAAACTTGACTCTCTCTGTGAAGTCAATAATACCCTGGCATCTTAACTAAAGATATCACAAGGAAAGAACACTACACACTAATAGTCCTCTATGAATATAGATGTAAAAATCCTCAACCAAATGTTAGCAAAACTGAATCCAACAATATGTATGAAAGGATTATATACCACTAGAGGCCCAGTGCATGAAATTCATAAACTTGGGGAGGGGGTGGTCCCTCAGCCCAGCCTGAGCCCTCTCACAGTCCAGGAGCCCTCATGGGTGCTTGCCAGCCATGAGCCCAGATTCTGGATAAGCATTGCTCCCCCTGCGTTGAGTGTCTGCCACCTGGTGGTCGGTGCATGTCATAGTGATCAGTTTGCATATTAGCCTTTTATTATATAGGATAATCACGTGGGATTCATCCCCGGATGTGAGGTTGGCTTAGTATCCCCACATAATGTCATACACCACAGCAATAGGGTGAAAGACAAAACGACAGGATCAACTCAATCACAGACACAAAGTATTTGACAAAATTATACAATCCATTTTAAAAAGGGGGGAGGGGGGAAGAAAACTTCCTCAGCCTGATAAAGGGTGTTTACAAAGAACCCACTGCTAACATCCTACTTACTGATGAAAAACGAAGGCTTTACCCAGAGATCAGCAAACAGGCAAGATATCCATCCATTCTTGCCACTTCAACATTGCACTGGAACTTCTAGCCGGGAAATTAGGCAAGAAAATGAAGTAAAAGGCATCCAGCTTGGAAGGAATAAATAGAACTGTTTGCAGATGACATGATCTTATACATAGAAAATCCTAAGTAACCCATACACCAAAAAATCTAGAATGAGTTAGGCGAATTTAGATCAGTATATAAAAAGCAGTCATTCACTAGCAATGAACAAACCAAAAACAAAACTAAGAAAACAATTTTATTTGTAATTTTTTTTTAGAGAGAGAAGGAGAGGGACAGAGAGTTAGAAACATCAATGAGAGAGAAACATTAATGAACTGCCTCCCGCATACTCCCTACTGGGGATGTGCTCACAACCAAGGTACATGCCCTTAACTGGAATTGAACATAGGACCCTTCAGTCTGCAGGCCAGTGCTCTATCCACTGAGCCAAATTGGTTAGGGCAGTGGTCACAAGGGCTTGGGAGCCACATTCGGCGCTTTGGCCCCTTGAGTGTGGCTCTTCCACAAAATACCATGTGTGGGCACACACATGCAGTGTGATTGAAGGAGCACCCTAATAATGTACCTACCTATATAGTTTAAAACATTTGGCTCTCAAAAGAAATTTCAATTGTTGTACTGTCTATTTGACTCTGTTGACTAATGACTGCTGACCAATGGGTTAGGCAACAATTTATTTATAAAAACAGTAAGTAATTAGGAATTCTATGTAATAAAATGCTAATATTCAAATTGTCCCGTTTGACCAGGGAGCGTGGTGGCTGGCCAATCGCCTGTGGCCCCTCCCCCCATCCAACCCCACCCCCAATCGGCCCCATCTACCCTTTTGGAGGAGGGCCAGCTGGACCCCACCTGTGCACGAATTTGTGTATGGGCCTCTAGTAAAGCTAATAAAAGAAAACAACTTGCACCCTAAAAAGTATTAAACATTGAACGATGAAAATACATGGGAAGACATTTCATGTTTATGGGTTAAGAACACAATACTGTTAAGATGGTGGTACTCCAAACTGATCTACAGATTCAATGCAGTACCTATCAGAAGCCCAACTTGCCTTTTTTACAGAAATTGAAAGCTGATCTTAAAATTCATGTGCAAAGAATACTAAAGACCCTCAGATAGCCAAATAATCTTGGAAAAAAACAAAGTTGGAGGGCCTAACTTTTTGGTTTCAAAGCATATCAAAAAGCCGCAGCATTATAAGACAGTAGTGCCAAAACTGGTTTGGCTCGGTGGATAGAGCATTGGCCTGCGGACTGAGAGGTCCCAGGTTCGATCCCAGTCAAGGGCATGTACCTTGGTTTCGGGCACATTTCCAGCAGGGGGTGTGCAGGAGGCAGCTGATCAGTGTTTCTCATCGATGCTTCTAATTTTCTATCCCTCTCCCTTCCTCTCTGTAAAAAATCAATAAAATATATTTTAAAAGACAGTAGTAATATTGACATAAGGATGGCATTTGGATCAATGGAAGTGAATTGAGAGCTCTGACATATACCCTCAGGTTTATGGTCATTTGATTTATGACAGGCACCAAGACATCTCAATAAGGGGAAGGATAGTGTCCAACAACGATGCTGGACAACTGGAAATTCACAAGCAAAAGAATGACATTGAGTGAATCTAAAAACCAAGGGAATTAAAAAATCTGAACAATATTAACTGGTGAATATAATATTCTAGAATCAGAGGTATGGAAGGGGAGTGGACTGACGATTCTCGGGGAAAAGGGGAGGGGGGTGTGGGAAGAGACTGAACATAAACTGTGCACCTATGGATGAGGACAAGGGGGGTGGGGAAAGGACAGAGGGTGGGGTGGGAACCTGGTGGAGGGGAGCAATGGAGGGAAAAAAAATGAACATTTGTAATAATATGAACAATAAAAATTTATTTTGAAAAAAAAAGAATAACATTGGACTCCTACCTCAGGTCATATGCAAAAGTTAATAAAAAATCTCAATGTAAGAGCTAAATCTTTTTTAAATTCCTTGAAAAATACAGAGATATAAATATTTATGATGCCAGTTTAGGCAATACTTTCTTAGGTAAAACATCTTAAAAGCAAAGGAACTAAAGGAAAAGGTAGATTAATTAGGGTTTATCAAAATTAAAAAAACGCATATAAATGAAAATTTGTATTGCTATTATGGAGCTTGAATTATTTGGTCAGTATGTTGTGGAGATTCATTCATGTAAATGCATGCAATTATAATAGCTATACTTAATTTATTTTCATTATTGTATGTGAATATTTCAAAATATATTCATCCATTCTTCTCTGCAAGTATATCTGAGTTATAGTTCTCTTCCTCCCCTGGCCCCTTACAGGCCATTCCATCTGAACGTTCTGGCAGGTGCCCCTGAGGTTGGACTTGCTGGGTGTGGGGCAGTACCCGCTGCTCCTGCGGATCGCTTCGCCCGTCCACAGTGTGTGTTCCCACCTGCCCTCCATTTTGGGAGCGAGTTCTTCCTTTGCCAGCACTTGTTTTTGGCTGAACTTCGTTTTTGGTAATCTGGTGGGAATAATAGTATTTCAATTTATATTCCCCTTATTAACAAAGCACACTTTTGTTTTGCTATTTCGGGTTCTTATGATTTTATGTCTCGGGGATTTTGCCCATTTACAGTTGACTCATACCGCTTTATATTCTCAGAACAGTTTTCCTTTATCAGTTAGTTGTGTTGCATGCGTTCTCTGAGTTTTCTTTTAAGCTTTCCTTTTTAAACTTTATTTTGAAGTGTCTCTGACACACACCAAAGTGCCAAGAACAATCTAATGGACTGGATTCACCCATCACCAAGCTTCAGTTCCCATTAGGGGCCACTCTTGATTCAGCTAGCCCCCATTCTGCACACCCTGGGTTATTTTGAAGCAAAGTCCAGACATAGCATTTCATCTGTAGATATTTCAGTGCAAAGTGATAAGCATTAAACAATATATATTTACCAGTTTTCAAATTAATGGGTTTATTTCCTATGTCCTCCAAAGATTACCATACAGATTCTCTTTCCCTGTATTAAAACATGGACTCGGCCCTAACCAGCTTGGCTCAGTGGATAGGGCGTCGGCCTGCGGACTGAAAGGTAGAGGGTTTGATTCCAGTCAAGAGCACATGCCTGGGTTGTGGGCTCCATCCCCAGTAGGGAGCCTGCAGGAGCAGCCAATATGTGATTCCCTCTTATCATTGATGTTTCTATATCTCTTCCTCTCTGAAATCAATAAAAATATATTTTTTAAAAACACATGGGCTTACTCCTATTTGATGAGTTTGATGTTCAAATTGCCCCACCTCTGGCCAGGGGAGCTTTATTCAGATGGTACTGTCTTTTCGACACAATCACATAGTCTGGCAACCTCCTGTTCTGGTATGGAATGAAAAGACTAACAGGTTTTCATTGGCTGCCCGGCCTAGAACTGGACATTGCTCCAAAGACCCTCCTTCCTCTGGTGGGAAATGATAACGAGGCCGCGCCCATGATGCAGGGCTCTCATTGCTGCCTGATTGGTCGGTTTCTCGGTCCCTTCAGGAGGCCAATGAGGTTAAACTACATCAGACAATTATACTTAAACTTCCAGTTCAGATCAAGCTATAAGGTTGTAATTTAACCTTCATGATCTTTTTTTGTTTTTTTCTAAATACTATTCTGCTGGAGGGTGCACCAGCCTTTCTTTCTTTCCTTCTCTTTTTAATTAAATATTTGTATCGATTTCAGAAAGGGAGAGAGAGAAACATCAATGATGAGAGATAATTGTGTATCAGCCGCCCTCTGCACACCCCACTGGGATCAGGCCACAGCCTGGGCATGTGGCCTGACTGAGAATCAAACTGTGACTTCCTGGTTCATAGGTCCCTGCTCAATCACAGCCACACCAGGCAGGCAATGATCCTATGTCAGCATCTACTTTCTTTTTCTTTAAATATATATTTTATTGATTTTTTACAGAGAGGAAGAGAGAGGGATAGAGAGTTAGAAACATCGATGAGAGAGAATCATCGGTCAGCTGCCTCCTGCACACCCCCTACTGGGGATGTGCCTGCAACCAATGTACATGCCCTTGACCGGAATCGAACCCAGGACCTTTCAGTCCGCAGGCCGACGCTCTATCCACTGAGCTAAACCGGTTTTCGGCTCAGCATCTACTTTCAACTTCACCAGAAATCTCAGGTGTTGGAGACACGTGTGATGATTCATTTGACTTATCACGAGGGGGGTGGGGGGGGGGAGGCCTCAGTGTGGTAACACCATCAACAGGAGCAGTTTGTAGGAGGAGAAACCAAGATGGCAGCGTGGGTGAGCGGCTGGTCTGCCACTCCCACAACAATTAGACGATTGAAACTAATATGAAGGACATCTGTCATCTGGGACCGCGAGAAGGAGGTACTGGGTAGTTAGTGGTCAACGGTTAACATGATGGTGGGAACAATGGGGGACCAATGGGCTCTTAGAATGTGACCAGCTGGAGAAATGGAAGAATGGCAGGCCCAGAGCAGCAGTATCCAGGCCCAGAGTGTTGTGGGGTCGAACCCTGGGTTCAAAATGAAAGGAAAGAAGGAGCAGTGCAGCCATTTCGGGTGCATTGTCCGAAATCACAATGGACTCAGAGAAGCTCCCGTGTCCCTTCACCCAAAAGGACTGAGAGTTGCCCAGACGACAGCAAAGTGGGAGAAGAAAACTGAAGGCTCGCAAGGGACTGAGGTGCCAACATGGAGTCATCTGAAGAAATTAAAGACTGAAGTGGAAGCTGCTTCTTTAATCATGTTCCTGCTCATGCTAGCATCTGTTAGCTTCCAGTCTTCTGCAAAGTCTTGTGCAGCAAGTCCAAGGACTCTGAGTAAATCTACACCAACAACAAAAGAGACTCATTTAGTAGCTAAAAATATTAATATGTCCATAATTCTGATTTCTCATTTTGTTGTTTTGCATCGGCATTGTTATTATTTAATAGCCAGATTGTTGCTCTTGAATTCAAGTTTTGAAAATAACATTGTTTAGTTTTTGCATTGACATTGTTTGCAATTGTTTTTAATTTTAGAGCCCTTTTATTGATGTTTAAATTTTATCTTAATTATTAAAAAAGGGTGAGATGTAGAGAGCCGCCTGAGAAGGCACATGGACATTCTTTTAATTCTTATCAGCTGAGCCCGAGGGCACTGGCAGAATCCTCTAATCAGTACTGATTTCTTTTTTTTAAATAACTTTGCTTTTTTTTTAATTTTAAATATATTTTATTGATTTTTTACTGAGAGGAAGGGAGAGAGATAGAGAGTTAGAAACATCGATGAGAGACAGTCATTAATCAGCTGCCTCCTGCACACCCCCTACCGGGGATATGCCCTCAACCAAGGTACATGCCCTTGACCGGAATCGAACCCGGGACCCTTCAGTCTCCAAGCCGACGCTCTATACATTGAGCCAAACTGGTTTTGGCAGTACTGATTTCTTAATCCATGTGCTTGGAATGAGGAAAAATAGGATCTTGACTCACCTAGGTCTCGATATGCTAAATCTTGTACCAAAAAATAAGGAGCTTACCCAGATTTTGATGAATAGGATCTGGGCACACCCGAAACTCCTTTTGACCTTAAACTCCCCTTTGGAAGCCAATTAAAAAAAAAAAAACAAAAAAAAACCAGTTTGTACTGTCTTGTCCTGCTGGGGGACCCACGCCCAACCCCAGGAGATAGTTAAATTCCTATAGTTTCACAAAGTTAGCTTTATTCGTTTCTTTTTATAATTTCAATTTTTTTTAAGTTGCTTTAAATTTTTGTATTTTATATCACCGAGGTCTTTACATGGTTACAAAGGGAAATGAGCAAAATAAGATATTTAAATAGCTGTCTCTTCCCCAGGATAAGGGTTGGTCTCTTTTCCCAGGAGCCCGCAGGGGGGCGGGAAGCTGGACCTGGTGGGCAGCCTGGGTTTCCCATGGTTCTCAGGTCTTCCTCCCCAGGCACTGCGATTTCCCCGGTCCCGGGAGTCCTCCAGGTGGGCGGCAGCCGCCATCTCCGGGCGGGCACTGGGCCAAGCCCCCCGCGGACCCAGCGCTCCTGTGGCCTGCGGCGCAGGTGACGCCTGCATCGGCCGGGACGCACCAGGCCGCCGAGCCTGGAGTGTGGCGTGGGGAGCCACTGGCCGCTGAGGTCCTGTCCCCAGGGCCATCCTCCCCAGCTGCGCGGGGATTCCAGGGCTCTACCCGTTCAGAACCCTTGGGGATCTGGGGCAACGCCTGACCACGGGGTAAATCTAGTCTGGATGGGAGCGGCCTCCTCCCTCTTGTGGTTTGACTGTGAATGTGTCAAAGTGGCCAAAAGTTAAAGCCCGAGTTTCCTTGTCAAGACGGGAGAGGAACCGACAGTCAGACCCCGGCTGCAAGATAGAAGGTGAAAAGGAACTTGGGTTGTCACCGTGTGTTATAGGCAAGACGGGGAGAGCCTGTCTTGGAAGTGGCTTGTGCTTCGAGGGCTGTGGTTGACAGGCGTCGCTGGCAGCTCCCCGCCCGGGCCCCCTCCACCCTCAGGCCCTCCCCGCCCCGGGCAGCGCCCCAGGAGATGGAAGGAACCTCGGCCCTGAGGTTCCTTCACTGAAACCACAGGGTAAGCAGCCTGCAGACCTCCGTGGCCTTGATCCTGCCCCTCCAGGAGAGAAGTGAGATTAAGGGAGGAAAACAAACACTTCCAAATATTAGCAAGACCTGGCTTTGTTTGGGGAGGTTTTTGTTTTTAATCGTCACCAGAGGATGTTTTTCCTTTGATTTTCAGAGAGGAAGGAGGGTGGGAGAGAGAAAGATCACTGGGAGAGAGACACGGTGCTAGCTGCCTCCAGCACATGCTACAACCTGAGCTGAGTCAGGGATCGAACCCAAAACTGAGGAACATGTTCTTGTGCTCTTGACTGGCAATCAAACCCGAGACCCTTTGGTCCATGGGCTGGCACTCTAACCACTGAGCAACACCTGCCAGGGCTGTTTGGACAGTTCTTGCTAATCTTCAAGGACTAGGTAATTCCCAGGCTCCTAGACTTTTACGGACCACAACGAGGAAGACTTCCCAATCCAGTTTGCAAATGCAGTCTAAATTGATGCTTGCCCAATCCTTGTCACCTTTCATGGCTGGCTGTGGCCCCTGCCAGGCGTCAGAGGGCTCCCGCCGTCCCCGCCCGCAGCCGGGGCACACGCCCTCCCCTGCGTGCCCCTCCCTCCAGCACGGGCTCAGAGCAGGGGAGGAGCGGACTGCTGAGGCCGGAAGACATCAGTCCAGAGCTGCTCTTAACGGTTTATTGAGGGAAGGGGCAGGGCTGGGCAGGGCGGCAGCCTCTGGTCGCCGGGCAGGGATGCTCCTGCTGCTGCTCAGCCGAAGAACGTCAGGGCTCCCTGGAAAGAAGCCGCTTGAGTTTCCCGGCACAGCCCCGCTCCGGCCGGGCTGGGGCAGGCCGTGCCCCTGCTCCGGGGCCAGGCACGCGGTGACCTGTGCGTTCTGCCTGCTCCCGGGGCCTCAGACGGCTGGTCCTCCCAGCTCCCACCCGAGCCCGAGCGTCTCCCGGCGGAATCCGGCTCCGCCAGGGAGCGGCAGGCGCGTCTTACCAGGAGCGTCTTCACGGCCCCCACGGCGTCGGGGCCCAGCTCGGTCACACACTTCCTGGAGCCCTCCACCAGCTTGTCCACGGAGATGCCCATGCTGGCCAGGATGAACCTCAGGGGGTGGAAGCCCTTGAAGTAGGAGGAGGACGCAGCCCCGGCCACACCGTCGGCGGCGGCCCCGGCGGCCCCGGCCACGCCGTCCAGGGCAGGCGCCAGGGCGGCCGGGCTCGGGACCGAGGGCTTGGCCGCCAGGTTCACGAGGAAGGCTGCAGCTGCACAGGGAGGGGCGTCAGCCGCCGCGGGCCGCGGGGGGCTGGCGGGCAGGGCCAGCGCGGGCCGCGGGGAGGGCGGCGCCGAGCTCCGTGGCGGCCTGGGCAGGCTCCCGGGGAAGGGGACCCCTGGGCTGGCGAGGGAGGGTGCCCGAGCAGCCGCCTCCAGGCCGGGCCAGCCTCACACCGCCCAAGGCAGGGCGGGTGCGGAGGCGGCGGTCAGGGCCCGCGGGGCGGGGCGGGGCGGGGCGAGGCTGGGCCGCTGGGTGGGGGACTCACTGCGCTGGCTGAGCAGGGCCACGCCAAGCACCAGGAAGGCAGCGGCGAGCTTCATGGCGGCGGGCTCCGCGGATGCTCCTGCACCAGACACGCTCCCCGGAGTCTGGCCCTGGGACTATATACCCCGTCTCCTCCCTCCCCAGGGCTGGGCCGCACCCGCCCTGTCCTCCTGAGAACGTGCTGTTTGCTCAACTAATGGGCCGAGCCCTGGCCAACTTCCTGCTCAGGCTGGTGGGCCCTGGGAAACCCGTGCCCCCAACCCTGCCCGGGTCTCGGGACTTCCTCTTGGCTGGGCCTGGTGAGGGCAGGAATGGGCTGGGCTGGGAGCACGGGCCCCCCAGGCCTCTGCCCTCCGGGAGCTGTCTGGCCGGCCCCCAGCTGGCCTCGCGGTGCTGAGGGCCAGTGGGTGAGGAAGAGCCGAGGCTGTGGCCCCACCTCCCTGTTCCAGAGCCTGGAGATGTCAGGCAGTCCTCCCTCTGGCTCCTTCGGTCCTGGAGAGGCCGAGGGCAGCTGTCGATGCCAACAGGAAGGCCTGGGACAGTCTCCATCTTTGAAATCAGTCCTGACAGGAGAGTCTCACACACCTCATCTGCAGGACACGCCAAACACACAGCCGGTGACACAGGCTCACACACCTCATCTGCAGGACACGCCAAACGCACAGCCGGTGACACAGGCTCACACACCTCATCTGCAGGACACGCCAAACACACAGCCGGTGACACAGGCTCACACACCTCATCTGCAGGACACGCCAAACGCACAGCCGGTGACACAGGCTCACACACCTCATCTGCAGGACACGCCAAACGCACAGCCGGTGACACAGGCTCACACACCTCATCTGCAGGACACGCCAAACGCACAGCCCGTGACACAGGCTCACACACCTCATCTGCAGGACACGCCAAACGCACAGCCCGTGGCACAGGCTCGCCGGGGACTGGCTTTGCAGGGAGCCCTGCGTACCAGCCCCTGAGGCCCTGAGGCCCCGCTCCCCTCTGCCTGCAGGGGCGTGCGCTCATGAGCGGCTGTGCCACACGTGTGCGTGCACGGCCCGCCGCTCCCCTTGTGCGCTCCCCCTTGGCGGTGTGGTGGGGGGTGCATTACACATGTGCTTACTAAGAGGCGGCTGCCCGGTGGCTGCAGCCCTGATGCCGGAGCCTCACCTCCTCGGGGTGCTTGCTGAAGGCCCCGCTCCGGCCAGGCCCCTCCTGAGGCCTGGGCAGCAGGCGGCCCTCCCCGGGGGCGGCTCCAGGGCCCAGGGGCCTGGGGCTCCTTGCAGTGGGGGAGGGGCAGCCGCGCGAGGTGGGCGAGGAGAACAGGGACGCCGCTGAGTGGCTTCTCCAGATTTAGCCCCAGGAGCCCCCTGCCTGCCTCCCCCGGCTGTGCCAGCACGTCTCCCCCGTGTCCGCCGGAGGGGAGGGCCCGAGGAGAGGCTGCGTGGAGGCTGAGAGCTCCGTCAGGGCTCCTGGGGGGGGCGGCCTGGTGCCAGGATGTTCTCCTTTGTCACCTTATCCCTTTGAAACTTGGGGACGGGTTTCGAAAGAGCTGGCGTGGGAGGTGGGAGAAGCCTGGGCGGCCCTCGGGGCTGCCCCACCGCTCAGATCCGCTGCCGCGGAGGGCCGGACCCGGGGCCCAAGGTCAGGCTGCCGTCCCACGCGGAGCCCGCAGCCACATTTTCTCAGTGAGCATTTGGTGTGGGGACTGCTCTCCTGGTGTGAGCCCCTCCAAACTGGGTCACGGGTCCTTGGCCCAGGTGGTCACATGGGTGGGTGCTGGGAGCCACCCCGGGCACCTTCCCCCCGCAGACAGGCGAGAGGGCGCTGGCTTCAGGCAGGCGGAGCGGGCCCGAGGCAGGAGGAGGCGGAGGCGGCGCTGGCTGTCCGGGCACAAGCTCTCAGTGGTCCCTCTGCCCTTCCTGGCCCTCTCCGTCTGTAAGCTCCCCACCCCACTCTGGCTACAGTGGCTGGAGGGGACCTGTCCCCGGCTTCCCATGAGCCCACACAGTGGTGGCAGCACCGAAGATTGCTAACTCCAAAGGTCCATGCCCAGTTACACAGCAAAGTGTCTCATCGTGTCTCCATTTCTCCACCAAGGAGACCAAGCAGACTCGCTCGGCGGGCCCCCCCTCACCTGCCCGATCCCACAGCCGCGGGGGAACCGCCTGCAGCAGGCGGGGGCAGCTGAGGGTCCGCTGAGTCCGGCGCCTGGTGGGCCAGGGGGCATCTGTGTATTAGTTTCCTGAGGCAATTAACAACTCACCACATACTTGGTGGCTGAAAACAACACACAATTATTTGCTCACAGTCCTGGAGGCGTGAAATCCAGTATCACTGAGCTAGAATCAAGGCAGTGTCAGAACTGTGCTCCCTCCAGAGGCTGTACGGCCTCTCTCAGCTTCTGGTGACGGCCAGCATTCCTTGGCTGTGGCTACATCACTCCAACTTCTGCCTCTGGTCACATCGCCTTCTCTAAATCTCTCTCTCTCTCTCTCTCTCTCTCACAGAAATCTCTCTCAGCCTCTCTCCATGATTACATGTGATTGCATTCAGGGCTCACTGGATAATCTAGGATATAATTTCATCTCAAAATAACTAACTTCATTACATCTGCCAAGACTCTTTCCTTATAAAGTGGCATTCAAAGGTTTAGGAATGAAATCCTGGGTGGCTGCGGGTGTTTCTAAGCCTTTCGCACCTCCAAGCTCTGTGCAGCAGTGAGGCACCCCTCCTTCAGACCTCGCAGCCAGCCTGTCCTGGCAGTGTTTGCAGGGCATCCTTTGAGCCAAAACAAACATTGGCCCCAGGCCTGCTCCTCCGGGAATGAGGTGCTGGAGGGGCAAGGATGTTGGTGGCCCAGGGCTGGGAGGACCGCGGGCTCAGCTGCCCAGGAGCCAGGCACTCAGGCCTACAGAGGTTGGAGGGGACCAGGAGCCGAGGGCCCGGCCAGCCTGCAGAGGGTGACACAGGCCGCGAGGCCAGCAGACCTGCTGCCTGCCGGGCCAGCACACCTGGCGGAGGTGCTGGGGCTCCTCCATCTCTTCTCGTTCTCCTGTGTCTGCCAGGTCAGCTCCCGAGTCCCGGGAACAGTTACTAGGCGAACCGGAGGGCCTGTGGGCCAGCCGCCTGATGGGGCGATGTGGCCGCCTGCGGGCAGCGGGAGCCCCTTTCCCGCGGTGGCCTGTGCGGCGTGCTGACCGAGGGCTTCGATTGTCCGAGGTGTCCAGGTGTGAACTGCTCCTCGTTCAGTTTCTGGGGCCGGCGCACACACAGGCCTGGGACCCGCACCGTCCCCGGGCGGTGGGCAGCCTAAGGGAGCCCCTCCAATGGCCTCAGCTTGGGGACTCCGGCCACACGGGCACCCTCCAGGGAAGTCCTTCTGGGTGAGGGCCACCCCAGACACAGGAGACCCCTTCTCTCCTGGGAGTCGTCACCATGAGGGCACACGGGCGCACCCAGGAGCTGGGATGGAGCCACCTCAGTGGAGCCTTGAATGGCTGTAAGAGGAGAGGCCAGGTGCAGGGTGGGTATCCTGCCCAGGGGTCACTCCAGGAATCTGCCAGCACCCACCTCAGCTCCTTCCTCTTCCTCATAGCGTGGTGCCCTGGGCCCTGGGGCTCTGGGCAGTGTCACCAGCGTGTCCTCTTCCTGCCTCTGTGGGCACCTTCCCTTGGGTCAATATTGATCTGGTTTCGTTGAGTACTTCCTCCTGCCCCCTCCCCGTGCAGGGCGCTGCCTCAGGGAGGGGCAGGCAGCCGTGTGGGCTCCGGGGAAAGTGATGGAAGAGCTGGCCTGAGTAGATGAAATTCAGCAAAGACTGAGCTTGTCAGAGAGCTGACTTCCCCAGGGTTACAAGCTGGCAGCCGACGGTGGCAAACCTCAGACACCACGATTTGGGCTCGGGAACAAGCTGCTGGCCCCCCAGACCTCCAGGAAGTTTCACCGGGTCCCCCAACTCTAAATGGCTGTGCTGCCCACACAGCCATGGCCAAGCCATGCCTGCACAGTTAGGTCCCGTTTACGTGTGTCAGCCTGGGCCGAGTGGGGCCCCACCACCTTCAGTCATGGGTCCCTAAATAGAATGGGATTCTCAGTCAGAAAAAAGCACTCAGACCATCAGTGACCTGCCCAAGTCCTCGGGTCTCTTCTCAGGCCTGGTGCCCCTTGGGACTGGAAGGCACAGGGGCTGGACGCAACCCCCTGCAGTGAGGAGGTTCCAGGCTCCCGACCATGGCCCACCCACACAGACGTCCTCATCGCCACCCCGAAGCTGACTCACAATTAACCCAAGGACTTAATGGCAATCCCTCGGAGACTCCCATCGTCCAGAGGCCATGGCAGGGACCCTGACACCTGGCTGGGCCCTTGATTCTTGGGAGGAAGAGCTGCCTCCTCATAAGGGACCGTGCTTGCCTGCCCAGCGCAGGGTCCCAGAGCAGGGCCTGGCCGACTGACCTTCACAGATGCTGCCCCATCGCCGTCCAAATCCCCAGCTCTCGCTTCCCGGGCACTCTCAGCCTCTCCCTCAGCCCTTGCAGTGGCCCCTCAGTATATCCCACTCCCTCCTGTGGTTTTGAGAGGGCAGGGCGGGGCGAGGCTAACTCCTGACTCCACTTTGTGCTGTGGGGCAGGGAGGAACTATCCTCCATTTTGTATAACTGGACGGTAGCCCTCACCAACCAATCAGGGGCAGCCAAAGCAGTGACATCACCACCCCTATAAAACCCCTTGATCTGTTGAAATTCGTCCTCTCTCTCGCCACGCTGTCAGTGTGGGTGGGACAGAGCCCATGCTGGCATGGAATTCAGGCTTTCTGCAGGGGCATTGGACTCGGCTCCCTGGTGGTCCTTGGGGATCACGAAGTCTGGGCGTAACAGTTTATGGCAAACTTTGTCACTTCCAGCTCTTGTGGAAAATGAAGGGATTCTGTCTCCCTGCAAACGCTGGCCCAGGCACAGGTGCCCATTAGGTCCAGGCAGGATGACGTAGTCCTGAGTGATTGGAGAACACAGAGTGTGCCCTGCCTTCCAGAACTCCCCAGTTGGGTCTCATGTAAGGAAAGCATTTTCCCCTATTACCATCCCTCTGAGCCATGCTTCCCACCTCCTCCACCTGTTGTCCTCACTGCAGGCCCGGCATTGGCAGAGAATGCCTCTGTCCCTATCTGCAACGGTTGCAGAAAGTCTGTGTGGGTGGGTGTCTGTAGATGGGAAATGGGTTGCTGAGTGGATGGATGGGTGGATGGATGATGGGTGGATTGATGGATAGGTGGGTGGATGGGTGGATGGATAGATGGATGAGTGGATGCATGAGATGATAGGTGAGTTGATGGAAGAGAGAGGTCTTGTCACATGCTGCTGTGGAGAGTGTCTTTCCAGTTAACTTAAATGTTGCCTTGAAGGACATGACAGTGGGGTCAGAGCTTCTTCCTCAGTGTGGTCACTACAGGGGCACTTCAACTGTGATATCACCAAACCTCTGCTATATGGCAGCTCACAGACACGAAAATGAGGCCCCGAAGGGCATGCCTCGCCCAGGGTGACCCTGCCGCAGGTGCCACATCCTCCTCAGCCCTGAACAGCCCCAGAGCCCGCGGGCCCATGTCTGTCCTGCAGCTCAGCACAGGGCCTGGCCAGCGGTCCTGAGGGTGATGCTGCAGCCCCTCTGAATCCTCGGGGAGAGGCCCTGTGACCTGCCGAGGAGGAGTGGCCTGGAGGGGGCGATGTTTGTGCTGGGGGCCTGCCAGAGTTGCCACTGAGGAAAAGGGTTGTTTCTGGCATAGCCAACTGGATAAGGCCCCAGCCACCCAAGCCCCTCTTCCTCTCCCGTCTCCCGCGGCCGCCTCCGCTGCTCCTGCCAGCAGCCTGTGTGCCGGCCCTCGCGCCCAGGCCTCGTCAGGCCCTGCTCTGTAACTTCAAGATTCGTGCTTCCCTGAGCACAAATGTAAGTCCAAGCACAGCGTCCTCTCCCAAACTTCCTCTGGTCTGAAAGTACAATTCCAACCCCTAATTCTGGGCTTCCGGGCCCTGAGGACACTCCTTCTCACACCCGCCCCTCTCGCCTGCCTCCCTCCCTCCCTCCCTTCCATTCTTTCCTTCCCTCCCTCCCTCCCTCCCTCCCTCCCTCCCTCCCTCCCTCCCTTCCTCCCTCTCTCCCTCCCTTTTCATTCCCTCCCTCCCTCCCTCCCTCCCTCCCTTCCATTCTTTCCTTCCCTCCCTCTCTCCCTCCCTTTTCATTCCCTCCCTCCCTCCCTCCCTCCCTTTCTTTCCCTCCCTTCCATTCCTTCCCTCCCTCCCTCCCTCCCTCCCTTCCTTCCGAGCGGGCCTGTGCAGCTGCCCTTCCTTCTGGGCAGTGCTCCATCCCGGCCCCCGCCCCCAGCAGCTGCCATGTCCCCGGGCACCACGTGCAGCGCAGAGCGGGGCCCAGGAGCCCAGCCGATGCCCAGGGCAGCACACGGTCAGGATGGACTAAAGGGCACCCGGGGACACTGTGTGCCTGTGGCCTCTTCTAAAGGACTTGGTTCGCGGCTCTCTGTCAAAGAGGGGGAGGAGGAAAGGGGTGCGGGGTGGGCCCCCTGGAGAGCCGAGGCCTGAGAGGAGGAGAGGGAAGGAGATTCCTGGCAGGGAGGAAGGGCCCAGGGGCCTCAAGATGAGACACTGCTCTCCGTGGTGTGGCCCCTGCTCCTGCCAGCCGGGTCCTCTGTCCCGCCGAGTCCCTGGGCGCCGGGAGGGAGGCAGGCTGGGGCCTGGGCACACGGACTGCCGCCTGGAGCGCCCAGTGTGAGCCAGCGCCTCCTGACCCAGGCGCACGGAGGGGGCTGTCCACCACACGTGGTGACACAGGCAGCAAGACGGATGTGGTTTGCCTATGAACGTGTCAAAGTGGCCAAAAATCAAATCCCCGAATTTCCTTGTCAAGATAAGAAAGGACAGAAAAACACCCAGACGGGCACTCGTTCAGGGAAAGAGGCTGAATTCAGCCAATAATGTTGGAGTAACCGTCCCCACCCAGCGGGAGGGTGCTCCTTTCTGTGCTCACATTGAGATTTATGATAGCAGTCACAGCCACAAACCCACCGCTTCCCGCCAGAGCTGAAAACGAGGCTTGAACAGCAGACACCACACCGCTGGGTGGTGGGTGGGCGCAGGCGCCCAGCGGGCCCAGGGCCGGAGAGAGGAAGAGGCCTGGCTGGGCAGGCGCGGGGCCTGGCCTGCAGGGTGGCCTCCGGCTCCCGGTCTTTGCTCCCCAGCGAGGAGGACAGGACAGTGCTGACAGCCCTGCGTGGAGGGTCATGGCTGGCTTTCCCTCCTGCGCCCCAGGGAGCCTGCCAGGGCCGAGTCCAGATGGGAGGGCCTCGCCCGTCTGCAGCCGCCACGGCCAGCCGCTCGCTTATGAAGGGGGGTTGCACGGACACCCCCTGCAGGGCCACCGGCAGCCCTGCCCCCGTGCTGGCTGGCGCCCACGCCTGGGTGGGGCTGACACCGGGGTCCCAGCTCCGACGCTGACCTCTGAGTCCAGTGGGACTCGGACGGGAGGTGAGCCGGGCCGCACTGTCTCCCTCTGGATCCCGAGTGACCACAGGCTCCTGCTTCGCGTGGGACCTGGTAGCAGTGACGCAGTCTGGGCCACGCCCCACACCCACCGGCCACAAGGCTCCTGTCACTTTAGATATAAAGAAAGGGGACGCCTTTGTAGCCGCTCAACCCGCTCCCTCTGGGGTGGCTTCGGGGAGAGGGTGTCCAGGCTCAGCTGCCTCTGCCGCCCTCCAGAGAGCTGCGCCTGAACGCAGAGCCTCACTGCAACTCAGACTGGCATCGCGTTTATTACTGTCTTTGTTAAATAGCTCAGGTCTTCCCGGAGCTCGTGGCGCCCCGGGCACGCCCAGGTAGGTGTTCCTCCAGGACATCTCTGTGCGGCGGTGGCAGGGGAGGTGGCCGGGCTGCCGGCCCAGGCTCGGCACCTCCAGCACCGGTGGCTCTGCTACAGCCCCGGGGCCCTCCACCAGGTACACGTGAGACCCAGGTCTCAGTCAGGTGGCATCCAGGAAGCAGGTCCGGTGGGGACAGCGATGTCACACGGGTAGGTATCCTAAAGAAACGGTACACAGTGGGGAGGGGGTGTCTGTGGGCAAGCCCCTGCTCGCTGCACGGTCGCCTGTCCTGCAAGCGTCGTGTGTGTGTGTGTGTGTGTGTGTGTGTGTGTGTGTGTGTAGGTGGGGGGGGGGTCGCTGGTGCTAACTGGGAGGAGGTCTTTCTCCTCTGAGGGGGGCGGGGAGGGCTGGGCAGTGTGAGCTGGGGTGGGGGTCTGAGCAGATTGGCTCCGAGGTCCTGGCCGCTCCCGGTGACGACAGGCTTGAGCTGCCAGGGCGCCCACGTCAGGCAGAGACCAGGCGGTGGAAGATGGGCCGAGGCCACAGAGCATCCCCATTGCCTGGAGGCCTGGCGGCCTGGCGCAGCGCTGGGCGGTCCCTGGGCCGGCCTGGAGCCTTCCTGTGGAATCCCGGGCTTCGCTCGGCAGGACCATCGCAGCCGGGCAGGTGCCTTGTGGCTGATCGGGTCCCAGAGGGGAGGGGAGAGCCGTTTACTCAAATGGGGCTGCTGAGACCATGTGGGCTGGGCCGGCCCTTCTCCAGAAGAGGCTGCGCTGTGTCTGCCGTGGCGGCGCCCACTGGGGACCAGGGGCAAGGATCCTCCAGACTCAGAGAGAACTTGCTCCCTTCAGACTGCAGTTTTGAAAAGTAAATTCTTCGTAGCAGCTGAGTTTCTGAAGTTCTAATGAAGAGGACCTCAGAATCAGCTCCCGGCCACACACAGTTCCTCTCTGTGCTTTGGGATGGGGCTCTGCACCCTCCCTCAGCCCGGGGGGACAGGGAGGAAAGGCCTCCCCTGGGCAGGGGCAGGGTGCGAGGGGGCTGGGAGGCTGCAGCCCACGCCTGGCTTCACCTGCATCCCCGTGACTGTCAGGCCCTCAAATTCCTCACCAGAAAACGGAATCACGCTCCCCCCACCATCGTGGGAGGAGGCCAGCCAAAGGACACCCCTGGGCGTGGCTGGCCCAGGCGGGCCGTGGGTCTGTTAGGAAAGTGGAGTCTGACCTAAGGGAGAAGGGCCCTCGGGGACGCCCTGGGCAGGGGTGGTGATGGAGTTCGGGGAGCCCTGGGGCCTGGGTGTTGCTCTTCATGGCTAGGGAGGGGTTGAAAGGAGGTGAGTTCCCAGCCTGCAGCCCCAGCCCTCTGCCTGCGGAGCCCCCTCAGTAGCTGCCGTCGGCGAAGACGGGCGCGCGGGTCAGCGGGGCGCAGTCGTCCTCGCCGCGCGGCCCGGCCAGCTCCCCGTACTCGCTGTTGTAGAACACCTGGCCGCCCCGCAGGCCCCGGCCCCGGGGCTCCGGGCCGGCCCCCGCCACCTCCGCGCTCCAGCCGGGAGCTTTGCTGCTGGGAGAGACAGGAAGGTGGCGTGAGCGGGAAATGAGGGTCCGAGGGACCGGACCCGGGCAGGTCTGACTGGAGTCAGCGGACACACCTGACCGGGTCAGCTGAGGTGCGTGCCAAGGCGGTGGACACGCACACGGCCCCCTTAAACAGAAACCAGAATGGTGGGACGTGGCCAGCACCGGAGTGCCCCCGCCCGAGCCTGGGTGTGGGGCCACGGAGGATGCCAGCTTCAGTCCCGCAAACCGGCTTCTCGTCCAGTCTGGCCATCTTTGTAAATGGCACCAGCACTGGCTCCAGGGCTCACACCGCTGGCTGTCACCCTGCTTCGTCCCTTCCTCTCGCCCTCATCCAACCCATCGGATGATCTAGTCCGTCCTAACTGGAAGCACCCTGCCCGTCTCCACGTCCTGCCCCCACTCGAGTACGCAGCCATCGGCCGAGTCCCAGCGTGGCCTGCCCGGCTGGCTGTCTGAGCGCCGGGCACGGTGATGGCACTCGGCTTTGCAAAGAGGGGGTGTCCGAGGGAAGGGGGTGTGCTGGCTCAGGCCGGGGAGCGGAAGGCGCTCCTTTGGGAAAGCTGGTGACAAAGGCTGGAGTCCCAGCCGCGCACACAGGAGCCGTGGGAGGTTCAGGTAAGAGGGTGACGCACACGCAGGCCCAGCCTGCCTCCCCGGAGTCCTGGCAGGGAGGGGGTTCAGGAAGCCCTACCTGAGCCCGCCTTCCTGCCGGTGCCTGCTCTCCAGCTGCTCAAACTCCTCGGAGGCCAGCACCATCCCGCTGTCCGTCTGGTTGTCCTGTGTGCAGACAACAGCGAGGCTGTGCCTCCACCGCGGCCCGGCTGCAACGCCTGCCCCACTGCCAACCGACACCGGCTCCTGCGCAGGGAACGGCGGGCCGGGGACGGCCGCCCGCCCGCCCGCCCGCCATCGAGGGGACACAGCCTGGCCAGCGTGCAGGAGGCAGCGAAGCTACAGTGCCCCGTGCTGGGGTCCCAGAAGGCTGTTAGAGAGGGCGAGGGTCTCAGGTGCGGACAGTTCTTATTAAAACCTATTCTTTCTTTCTTTCCTTTTTAGGATTTTAAAAAAACATATATATTTCATTGACTTCAGAGAGAGGGAGAGAGAGAGAAACATCAATGATGAGAATCATTGACCGGCTGCCTCCTGCACACCCCCTACTGGGGGTCGAGCCCTAAACCCGGGCATGTGCCCTGACCAGAACCGAACCCAGGACCTTTCAGTCCGCAGGACGACGCTCTGTCCACTGAGCCAAACCAGCCAGGGCTTAAAAGCTATTCTTGCTAAATTTACAATGCAGCAGCACATTTTACAGGCCAGCTGTAAACAGGATGGCCTTGACAGGAACTCAACAGGTAACTGTCACCAACTGCAGGGAAGGCGTTGACAGGTAACGCCCAGGCGTGCACTAGGCGATGCCGGCTTCCCTCGGGGCACATGGGACCCGGCTTGGCTGTGGACCCGTCTCCCTGCAGCAAGTCCATGAAGCTCCTGGTGCCACAGGGTCCTGTGGGCCAGAGAAAGGCCCCTGCGAACCCTTCCTCCGGTGACAAGCACGGCGTCCTCAGAGCCGGTGGCCGGAGGACTGGAGGCAGGGCAGGGCCGTGGGCGGCGGCCGCGCTGCCATCAGAGGGGCTGCCTACCCCGGCCCCTTCAGCGCTTCAGAAGGCAGTGGGGAGTGAGCCTGGGGTTGCTTTCCTGCGTGTTTCCACTCGTTTGGGTCTCGGTTGTTGGAAAGGAGGTGCTGCCTGGCGAGTGGGACGTGGGGCCGGTGAGGCAGGAGTTGCGTCCGGCACGGGTTCGGGACGGACCTGGCGCTGAGGCCGAGGGCTGAGGAGCGCAGGGGCAGCCCAGGCCTCCTGCACTGGTTGTCCGGCTGCGTGTCCCCCAGAGGTGGGGTTTGGTTTTGTGCCTTGTCTGTCTTACAGTTGATGTGTTGTGACAGGAAACTCAAATTCAATTCCCGAATGCAGCCTCTTGGGGTGCATTTTTCAGAACCGAATAGAAAGAGCTCTTAAAAAGGAAGCACACCCCTGGCTGGGCTGTTCAATGGTTAGAGCTTCAGCCCATGGACTGAAGGTTGCAGGTTGAATTCCAGGCGGAGCACATACCTCGGTTGCAGGCTCCATCCCGGCCCCCAGGTGGCGCATGTGCGGGAAGCAACCAATTGCTGTGTCTCTCTCACCCCCGCCCTTCCCGCGCTCTAAAACCCAGCGGAGAGGATGGGGTGAGGACACACAGACACACACACACACACAGACACACACACACACACACACACACACACACACACACACACGGCGCTTATATAAATTAAGAAAAATAACGCATGGCTCGATGGCGGTGTCTGCGGACCTGGAGGCTCTGCTGCCTCTGCCTCCTCAGCACTTACCCCCCCCCCCCCCCACCGAGGAGGGCGCTTTCCGGAGCCCGCGCCGGGGCGGGACTGGCACCCGCAGCCCCTGAGCGGAGCGGCAGAGCTCCCTGCTGGGGCCCTGGGGCCGGCGCGGCGCGGGGGCGCGGGGGCGGCTCTCCCGGCCTCGGAGAGGGCTCCCCAGGATGGTCCTCGCCAGTCCCCCAGCCTCTCCGGGTTCAGGCTGCACAACTCTACCCAAGGCGACAAGCCACACCCCGGAACTGGAACCGACAAACCAGCGGCACCAGGGAGCCCGCGGGGTCCGGCCGGGCTGGCGCGGGGCGGGGAGCCCGCCGCGGTCAGTGCAGCCGGAGTCCCGGCCGCATGGCGGCGCCAGAGGACCAGCAGCGCCTGTGCGAGGGCGCGCCCGCCGCCAGGGGTGCGGGGACCTGGTGGGGCTCCGGGGCTGAGGAGGGGACAGCTGAGACCCTGCAGCTGCTGGGGGTGAGGGGGGAGGGAACAGCCGAGAGGGACCTGCAGCTGCTGGGGGGGTGGAGTGCGGAGAGAACAGCTGAGAGGGTCCTGCACCTGCTGGGGGGGGGGAGTGCGGAGGGAACAGCTGAGAGGGACCTGCAGCTGCTGAGGAGGGGAGGGGAGAGGGAACAGCTGAGAGGGACCTGCAGCTGCTGGGTGGGGGGGGGGGGGAGTGCGGAGGGAACAGCTGAGAGGGACCTGCAGCTGCTGGGTGGGGGGGGGGAGTGCGGAGAGAACAGCTGAGAGGGTCCTGCAGCTGCTGGGGGGGGAGTGGGAAGGAACAGCTGAGAGGGACCTGCAGCTGCTGGGTGGGGGGGGAGGGGGAGTGCGGAGGGAACAGCTGAGAGGGACCTGCAGCTGCTGGGTGGGGGGGGGGGGGTGCGGAGGGAAACAGCTGAGAGGGACCTGCAGCTGCTGGGGGGGGGGGAGTGGGAAGGAACAGCTGAGAGGGACCTGCAGCTGCTGGGGGGGGAGGGGGAGTGCGGAGGGAACAGCTGAGAGGGACCTGCAGCTGCTGGGGGGGGGGGGGGGGGGAGTGCGGAGGGAACAGCTGAGAGGGACCTGCAGCTGCTGGGGGGGGGGGGAGTGGTAAGGAACAGCTGAGAGGGACCTGCAGCTGCTGGGGGGGGAGGGGGAGTGCGGAGGGAACAGCTGAGAGGGACCTGCAGCTGCTGGGGGGGGGGAGGGAACAGCTGAGAGGGACCTGCAGCTGCTGGGGGGGGGGGAGGGAACAGCTGAGAGGGACCTGCAGCTGCTGGGTGGGGGGAGGGAACAGCTGAGAGGGACCTGCAGCTGCTGGGGGTGGGGGGGAGTGAGTGTGGAGGGTCCGGCTGAAAGGCTGAGGGCAGTCTGGGCCTTGGGGGCAGGGCTCTCTGCTGAGCTGGTGGCTCCTGCCCGCCGCCTGCAGGGAGCCGGAGGCCCTGGGCTGGGTGCACACCCTCCTGCTTACCACCGAGGCCTTGTAGGTCGTTGGGGTCATGGGAAATTCTTCGAAGGTTTTCATCCTGGAGGGCCCCTGGGTCCCCTTGGCCAGGCTCCCCGGGAAGGGCACACAGTTGTAGTATCTGGGGGAGAGCACAGCCGCTGCTGAACCGCCCCGCCCGCCCCCGCTCCTGCGGGAGGCCCTGGGCCTGGAGTCCTGCTGGAGCTCCCCTGGCACCCCCTGTCCCCGTCCCTGTCCCTGTCCTGAGAGAGGCTTAACCTCCTGAGGCCACTGCTGCAGGGCGGGAAGGGGGCGCGCTCCCAGCTGCATGTGGGGGCTGAGGCCTGTGCAGCAGGCAGCCTGGTGTGGAGGGGTCGTGGACGGAGGGGTGGGCGCGGAGGGGTCGGTGGGTGGAAGGCGCTGGCTGCTCAGGTCCCACGGGCTTGGCTGGTCTGCAGGGGGCAGGTGGCAGGAGCCAGCGCCCTCCTCCCGGCCACAGCAGCGGGAGTTCTGGGGCCCAGGCTGCGTCCTCACTCCGGGGTTCTGGTTAGTGGGTGGCCTACCCTGCTCCCAGGGCCCCTCCAGTGGCCCCTGGACTCCCCTCCCTTCCCCTTCCTGCTCCCGCGGGCACCCCCTCTAAACTGAGGGGGGGGCGGGCAAGCGGGGGCTGCAGGGAAGACCAGGGCGGAGAGAAGCGAGGAGGCACAGCGAGGAGCACTCCGTCCCGCTGCCAGGAGGTGCCACCACCAGCACCAGCTCTGCCCCCAGGGTCCCTGCAGGTTCAGTGGGCAGAGTGGCTCCCACATCCTGGTGCTTGCTTTTCCTTTGCTGACTGATGTGTCTACGCTGCCTTCTTGCTGGGGGACCCTGGACCGGGGGCGGGGAGGGGGGGGAACAGCTGACCTGGCGGCCAGGCTGTGCGGACGCAGGCTCGGCCAGCTGCCCTCCTCGGTGGCCTCAGCGACGTGCAGGGCTGTGGTGGACGCCTGCAAGCTGCCCTCCTCCGAGCTCAGGCTGCAGGGCGCCAGGCAGTCCTCCTCCTCCTCCTCCTGGTGGCAGGGAGAGGGAGGTGGCAGGGAGGGGGATGACAGGGAGGGGGAGGTGGCAGGGAGGGGGATGACAGGGAGGGGGAGGTGGCAGGGAGGGGGATGACAGGGAGGGGAGGTGGCAGGGAGGGGGGAGGGGCAGGGAGGGGGGAGGGGCAGGGAGGGGGAGGTGGCAGGGGCAGGGAGGGTGATGACGCGGGAAGGGAGAGGGGAGGGGAGGGGCAGGCTCTGTGCCCCAGGGCGCCCTGCTCTGTGCCTCAGGAGTGGCACCGCCTTTCCCTCCCTTTTCCAGAGGCAGAACCGGAGGCCAAGAACCCTGGCCTGGGCAGCAGGCCTCCCTGCTCAGGGCCCAGGGGAGCGACACGGGGCCAGGAAGGGGCAGAGTGGAGCGGGTGGCGCCGGGTGTGAGGGGCGGGGAGGGCAGAGGGGACCGTGCGGGCGCTCACCTGCCGGCCCCCGCCCTGGAGCAGGGCCCCCAGCACCTCCACCAGCTCTGGGAAGGCCGGCCTCTCTTTGGGGTCCCCGGACCAGCAGCTCAGCATGATGCGGCGTCTGCGGGAAAGCGCTGCTGGCCCGGGTGTGAGGCCCGCCCCCGTGCCGCTCACCAGCCCCCACCTCGGCCCTCGCCCACCGCCTGCCCTTCGCCCTCCGCCTCCAGGAAGAGAGGGGTGGAGGGAGACCCTGTGTCTCCGCCCGCCCGCCTGCACCACCTGCCCACTCACCGCCCTGCCTGGCCCCCTCCCTGCCCACCGCGGCTCCTGCCCCCAAGGTGCGCTTGGCCAGCAGACTCACATGGCAGGCGTGGCCAGCTCTGGGGCCCGCATCCGGGTGCCCTCTTTCAGCCGCTGGCAGAATTCCTCGTTGATCTGCACCCCAGGGTACGGGGAGGCCCCTGACAGCAGGAACGGGGAGGTAGGTAGGGAGCAGGCCTCCCAGATCGCCTCTGCCCTGGCCCCCATGTTGGGGTGCTTGTCCTGTAGCTCCTGGCAGGGGCCTGGGCAAGGCAGGCACTCCCCACCCCCAGGGCCGTGGCACCCAGCGTGGCTCAGTGGCTGAGCATTGACCTATGAACCTTGAGGTTACGGTTAGATTCCCAGTCAGGGACATGCCCGGGTTGCTGGCTCCATCCCCAGTGTGGGGTGAGGAGGAGGCAGCTGATCCATGGTTCTCTCTCATCATTGATGTTTCTCTCTCTCCCTCTCCCTTCCTCTCGGAAATTAATTGATTAGTATGCTCTGCCCAGTAGGGTTGCAGCAAGCATCTCGCTTTAGGGACATCCACTAGTTCAGATATCACCAGGGTCCCTGAGGCCTTTGGCTGCCCTCGGCCCCCGGGCGAGCCACACAGCCGGGAGTCAGCCTCCGCCCCCACGCTCAGCCCAGCTCCAGCCCAGGCGGCCCAAAGGAGCGGCAAGGGCCCCCTCTCCTTCTCTTGCTGCATCTGCTGACCCGGGCCCCGCCCCTCCCATGCTCCGGGACCCTGGCCCTGCGCTGTCCTAGGCCCTCCAGCCCCTCCAGGCCCCCAGCTCACACCACCACGCGTCCAGGGCACTCGGCTCTGACACAGTGACAGCATTCACGGAGGCCGTCCAATGCTCTCACTCCCCCGCCGCCTGCCTGGCCCCACCCTAGCCAGGGCAGTCATGGCCCCATGGGGCCCAGGCTCCCATGTGCGGCTTCGTCAGTAGGTGTGTCCCTGAGTGAGTGCCATCCTTTCCCAGCCCTGAAGCAAAAGCAGCCCCCCCACAGCAGGTGGGAAAGAGCTGGAGCAGGGAGGGCCCCCGCAGCCTGCACCGGCGGCTGGTGGGGCCCGGAGCCTGTGGCCCCCTGCCCCTCCCCTCACCCCGCCCCGCACTCACCCAGGGAGAAGATCTCCCAGAGCAGCACCCCGAAGGACCACACATCGCTCTGTGTGGTGTACACCTTGTCAAAGATGCTCTCGGGCGCCATCCACTTCAGGGGCAGCCGGGCCTGCGGGAGGCAGAGGGCGTGAGCCTAGGGGGGGAGGGAGGCCGCCCAGGGCAGCCACCTCCGGCCCGGTCTCTCCTGCGCTCTGGCTGCCCCACGTTTGTTCAAATGGCTCCTGCAGCCTGCCCTGCTCCCCGCACACCCCAGAGGTGCTGGGCGCCTCCCGCAGGCCGCTCTGCGGCATGTCCAAATGGCTCCTCACGCGCCTGCCCCTCGCCCCCACGCACCTACTCCTTGTCCCCACGCGCCTGCCCCCCGCCCCCCACGCCTGGCCCCCGCCCCCACGCACCTACTCCTTGTCCCCAAGCGCCTGCCCCCCGCCCCCCACGCCTGGCCCCTACCCCCACGCGCCCGCCCCTCGCCCCCACGCACCTACTCCTTGTCCCCACGCGCCTGCCCCCCGCCCCCCACGCCTGGCCCCCACCCCCACGCGCCTGCCCCCCGCCCCCCACGCCTGGCCCCCACCCCCACGCGCCTGCCCCTCGCCCCCACGCACCTACTCCTTGTCCCCAAGCGCCTGCCCCCCGCCCCCCCGCGCCTGCCCCCCGCCCCCCCCGCGCCTGCCCCCGCCCCCCTGCCCCCCCGCGCCTGCCCCCCGCCCCACACGCCTGGCCCCGCCCCCACGCGCCTGCCCCCGCCCCACACGCCTGGCCCCGCCCCCACGCGCCCGCCCCCCGCCCCCACGCGCCCGCCCCCCGCCCCCACGCGCCCGGCCCCCGCCCCACACGCCCGGCCCCCGCCCCCACGCGCCCGCCCCCCGCCCCACGCGCCCGCCCCCTGCCCCCACGCGCCCGGCCACCGCCCCCACGCGTCCGGCCCCCGCCCCACGCGCCTGGCCCCGCCCCCACGCGCCCGCCCCCCGCCCCCATGCACCCGCCCCCCGCCCCCACGCGCCTGTGAGTCAGAATGAAAAACAAAAGCCCCTGCATCGTGGCCTGTCATAGACTGGACCATGCTGGCCCTTGCCTCCCTCCAGCCCTTCCTCTGGAGCAAACCTTTAGTCAGCGTGTTCTCCTTCAGGTGCCCGCCTGCCCACCTGAGTGCCACCAACCAGACACACGCGCCCATCCCCCCAGGCCTCTGCGGCTGCCCTGGGCTGGCTGTCCAGCTCCAGGACGGACCGTGCAGGGCGCCTCCGCATGACCCCCCCGGCAGGCAGAGGGGTCAGCGTCCAACTCATGGCCTGAGCCCTATAGGGGCAGTGTGGTCCCTGATCTCAGCTCAGGGGCCGCTTGGGTCTCTGCAGCCCTCAGACCTTCCGCATGCACAGAAGTGTGTGTGTGTGTGTGTGTGTGTGTGTGTGTGTCCCACCCGCCCGGCCGGAGCCCGGCCTGCACTCACGCTGCCCTTGCGCACGTAGTCGGGGTCCTTGTAGATGTCGCGGGCCAGGCCGAAGTCGCAGATCTTCACCACGTCACTCTCGGACAGCAGGATGTTCCGCGCAGCCAGGTCTCTGTGGATGCACTGGGGGCGCGAGGAGGGGTGTCGGCAAAGGCGCTCGGGCCACGGCCAAGGCCACGCGGCCCCGCTCCTCCCGCCAGATCCCGTGCACCCGGGCCGGCCACGCAGAGGGCTGGTGACGATGAGGGGCAGAGTCTGACTCCGCGTCCAGCTCGGCCTCTGGCCAGTGGAGCCTCGGGAAGCTATGCCCTGTGCACCCGGGTGAGCTGGCTGCTCATTCAGGCGTGCCTGGGGCTGCCCGCCCCCCCGGGCCTGCAGGCAGTCACCTTGCGGGAGGCCAGGAACTCCATCCCACGGGCCACCTGGAAGCTGTAGCAGACAAGGTCCTCCATGGTCAGCGGGCTCAGCCACAGGTCCTCGGCTGCAGAGGAGCACGGCGGGCTCGAGGGGTCCCCTCCCCGGTCCCGTCTTCCACGCCACCCCCAAGGGAGGGTTTGTCGTCCAACCCTTGCTGCATCTCTTGCCAGGCCTCTGAGGCCCCTGGCACCAGCTGCAAAGCCCTCTCCCCTCCCCCTTCCTAAGGCACACCCTCCACATGCGCTCCCATGTATGTGCCTCTTCCACCTAAATTCCTGGTGCGGCCACATTTTGGGTCAAGACGAAGCCAGGCTTGTACCTTCCTGGGTGCGAGCGGCCCGCCCCGCCTCGCCCTTGCCCATCAGGAGCCGCGTGAGGAGGGCCCTGTCGCTGCTGCCCGGCCTCCGCCTCCGGTCGGCCCTGGCGCCCTCCACCATGGCCTGGAAGCGCCTTCGCTGCTCCGGGGATTTCTCCTGCGGACCACAAAGCAGGTCTGAGCCGTCCCCCGAGGCAGAGGCATCCCCCCAGCCCAGCCGGCACCCCGAGCGCCCACTCACCGCGTAGGGGCTGAAGGCCTCCCGCTTGGCGCGCAGGAAGTTGGAGAGGTTGCCGTACTTGCAGAACTCCACGATCACCATGAGGGGGCCTGGCGGGGCAGGGCCGGGCTTTGGGGGCCGAGGGCGCGGCAGAGTTCCCGCCCGCCAGACGGCCTGGCCCCTCGCACCCCAGACGGCCCGCCGAGAGCACCTCTGACCCCCCACCCCCACCCCGCCAGCGTACCATTAGGCTTGGTGCACGCCCCCAGGAGGTTGACCACGTTGAGGTGGTTACCGATGTGGATTAGGATCTTGAGCTCCGACATCAGGGCGCGGTGCTCGCTAGCGGTGGCGCCCTCTGGAGGTGACACAGAGTCTTGGCCGGGCCCCAATCCCTGCGCTGAGCTAAGCGACCTTTGGTGCTCCTGCCAGCGGGGCGCAGGGCCCCCAGCTCCGCCCAGCCGCCCCCAAGGCAGGAAGGATTCCTCGGCGAGCCCAGGCCTGGCTCTGGCGCCATGGGCCCGGGCAGAACCTTGTGTGCCACCCCGCCCTGAGCCTTTCTCTTCCTACACCCGCTCGTCACCAGCTCCGCGCCCCCGCTGGCTGCTGAGCCCACACCTTTCAGCATTTTCACGGCCACCGTGTCACAGCTGCTGCCCTTGTGGATCCCGAAGGCCGAGGCTTCCACCACCTTCCCGAAGGCGCCGTGGCCCAGGACTCTGCCTGTGGGGGCAGGGCCGGCTCCAGGTGAGCCGCGCGAAGGTGAGGAGGAGAGGGGTGGGCAGCACGGCAGGCAGCCCGCCCGTGTGGAGGGCAGGAAGGAAGGCCCAGGAGAGGGAGGAAGGTGGGAGCCCCCTGCCAAACAGGAAGAGCCTGGAGTGCCGGGCAGAGGGAGTGGAGAGGCGGACAGGAAGGCCTGCATCCTCTCCCAGCAGGTGTGGGGGCCACCCCGCTCAGAGCAGCCGGCATGACCCCCGGGGCCTGGGAACCTCTGGGAATGCCTCCCAGAGGGACAGGAAGGCCAGGTGGGCCCGAGTTCTGAGAGGGGGTGGGTGGCCGCTCCGCTGCCTCTGCCAGGTCGCAGCGGGAGGGGCACGCTGGGGAGCGGCCTCACCGAGGTGCAGCCGGTCGCGGGGGAACTCCCACTGGCTGGCGTCATAGGAGAGGTATTCACACTGCTCCTCCAGGGGCACCTCCCCGGGGTCCATGATGATGGACAGGTAGCCGGTCTTGATGTCTGCGTGGGCTGGCTGGGTGGGTGGGCAGCACTGGTTAGGGCCCGCCTCAGCGACGGGAGAACCGTCCAGACCAACGGGGTCTCCCTCGAGGCTCCGTTAAGGAGGGGCAGTGGGACAGTCTCTGGGCGCTCAGCCGGGAGGGGTCCGGGAGGCGAGGCTTCCATGGAGCTGGGCAGGGACCCTACAGGACCCATGGGAGCTGGGGAGGGAGCACTCACCCTCCTCATGTTACAGAAGATGAGGAGGAGGAGGACCCAGAAGAAGACGGCTATGACCCCGGTGCCCACAAGGATCACGATCTCCATGCTGCCTCTGTCCTCGGAGCCTGCATGGGCAGAAACAGCCGTGTGTGTGTGCGTGTGTGTGTGTGTGTGTGTGTGTGTGTGTGAGGGTGCGCCCCACAGCTCCCTTCTGGAGGCCAGGGGCAGGGACGGGGCGGGGGCAGGGGCGGGGGGGGGGGGTGAGAGCAGGCGGACCTTCCACGGCCACGCTGGCCGAGGAGTTGACGCAGCCCTTGGCGTTGCACACGCTGCACAGGTAGCGGCCCGCGTCCTCCTCGCGCACGCGCTGGATGCTCAGCTTCTGGTTGGAGTCGGCCAGATCGATCCCTGCAGGAGGCGGTGCAGGCTCAGGTCCGGAGGGGCCCGGGGCCCGGGGCCTGGGCCTCCAGGGCCTCCGCACCGCTCTGCACCCCGCCCTCCCTACCGGACTTCTCCTCCAGCGGCCTCTCGTCCTTGTACCACACGATGCTGGGCACGTGCGTGCCCGCCACGGGGCACCGCATCTCCAGGGAGTCGCTCACGTTCACCACGAGGTCCGTCAAGTTCTGCGTGAGCCGCGGGGCTTCCAGGGCTGCGGGCGGGAGTCAGGAGCGGAGTGGAGGGCAGAAGCCCAGGCACCAGGCACTGGGAAGGGGCTCTGGGGGGCCTTGGGGCGAGGGGGAAGGGGAAGCTGGAAGGAGGGCGGTTTGAGCGCGGGTGGGGAGGGGGCTCTCCCGCAGACTCAGGCCCGCGGATGGACGCCCCACGCCCGCTGGGCTGGGCAGGCGCTGGCCCTGCCGCCTCACCTTGCACGGACAGGTACTTCTTGTGACAGTGCTTGTCGTGGCTGTGCCGGTCCTGCACCTCGCACACGTAGTCGCCCTCGTGCTCGGGTGTCACGTGGGGGATGGTCAGGCTGAGCGTGGTGTGGCGAGCCCCCGGCTCCGCCTCTTCCAAGGTGGCGGCCAGCGGCGTGGCGAACAGGTGCACGTTCTTGCAGTCGAGCAGCAGGGGGTTCCCGTGGGCATCGTGCAGCGTGGACAGGTTGAGGCGGTACCAGCGCAGGTGCTCGTAAGTGTAGTTGTCAGCCTGGCAGCTCAGGCGCACGGCCTGGCCCTCCAGGGGCTCCTCCGAGGGCTCGGACTCAATGCTGAAGCCGTCGGGGATGGCTGCGGCGAGGAAGAGCCGCTGCGACAGCGCCGTGACACCGGCTCACCTGCCAGGCGCTGGCCCTTCCTCCCCACTGGCCGCCGGACTCACCGGCTCTCAACCCAAGTTATGCATCAGGTGGGTCTGGGCCAGGGACACCCCGGAGTCTCCTTGGCCCCTCCACTCCCTCACTGACCCCCGGCCACCGGGGCCAGTCCGCACAGGTCAGCCCCACGGACTCTCCTCCTGCCTCCCTCCCGCTCTCTCCTGGTCGTGCCCCAACCCGGCTGCTGTCCCCCTCTCCCGTAGCCCCTCATCAGTGAAGCCTGAGCCCCATCCTGCCTTGCTGTTGACCACACCCCGCTGTCAGTGGTAGCGTTCTAGCTCCGACTGCCTCTGGCCTCTCCTTGTCAGGCTCCTGGGGGCTCCCCACCAAAGTGTCCTCTCTGGCTCCGTCTCCCTCCAGGTCCCCCCCCATACACACACCCCTGCAAGGTCCTCAGCTTTCCTGAGGTCCCCGAGAACCCAAGGAAGCTATGGAGCTTCTCCCCAGGAGAACACACCGGGGCCACCTCTTCAGCTCCAGGGCTGGGGAGGGGCTGGAGGGAGGCAGAGTTAGGTGGAGCTTCAGGGAGCAGGGCGGCCCCTGGTCGGGGTGCCTCCAGAGGTGAGGGCAGAGGGTGCTCCTCCATCCAGTGGACCAGCATGGTCCTCCAAATCTGGCCCAGGCCCAGGGCAAGCATCTCCCTGCGGTGCTCCACGATCACCAGGACCTCAGGGGGCCCGGCCCGGCCCCTCCTCCCCTCCTGCCCACCTGGTCCCTGACCACCAGCGCCCCCGGTCACTCACTGGTCACATAGAAGTAGATGAGCCGCTCGTCCTGGCCCACCTTGTTGAAGACCATGCATTTGTACATGGCAGACACGTTGGCATCCTGGATCACCAGCTTGCTCACCGTCTGGGCAAAGCACAGGCAAAGGATCCATTTCCTGCTGAGTTCCCCACCCGACCTTCCCTTTCTGCAAGGAGGTTGCTGTTCTCCCAGAGCGATGGGGAAACTGAGGCTCTGAGTGGGAGGTGATGGAGGTCAGAGATACGACCAGGAATGTGAGGCACAGGAGTGACAGTAAGGCCTCCGGCAGGGAAAGTCGGGCTGTGCTGTGGGAGCTGGCATGGGCAGTGGCCTGGTCAGAGGGTGGCATAGGCAGGGCCAGAAAGACTCTGGCTGTGCATGTGCCACTTCAGGAAGGTACAGGGGCCTAGTGCTGCTGGGCCAGTCCAAGCCAGGGTCAGGATTCAGACTGGGGTCACATCAAGGGTCAGGCTGTGGCCTAAGATGAGCAGCAGGTCACGGGGTGAGGTCCTTGTGACAAGTGCACCATGGTCCAGGGCTGCCCACCCCTCTCCCAGTGCCCGGGGTAGTGGCAAGGGGAGGCGCTGGGTCCTAGACGTCCAGAGGTTCCTGGCCTTGGGGAGTAGGAAGCTGGGAGGCAGGGTAGGCCACAAGCCCTGCCTACCATCCAAAGACCCCCCCTACTTTGAGCTGGGCACTTCCTGGCCAGGCCTGGAACAGGAAGAGGCTCTGGAGGTGTGTAGGAAAACAGGAAGTGACTGTAGGAAGTGGGTGCCTTTGTTCAGTCCCCTCCCCTGCCGGCCTCTTCTCAGCATTGCCCCCAGGCTGGGCCCGAGGCTCAGCAGCCTTTGGTGGGGACCAGGCTGGAGCCAGTGGGCAGCTGGTCCCATGGCCTGCCCGGGCAGCCTGAATCTCATCTTTCTCCTGTGGGAAGTGGCCGGGGTCCTGACCCCACCCACATGTAGGCAGGGGAGCGGAGGCCCAGACACAGCAGAGAGGTCACCCCTCAGCCGCTGCCTCCAGAGCCCGGCAGGCCTGGGGGGCACCGAGGCCAGGAGAGGCCTACCCTGCCTTCCCCTCCCCTCCCCTCCCCTGCCATCAGTGGTGCAGCTGCCCTACCTTATTCTTCCCCTCCACACACTCCGTCCAGGTGTCCAGGCTCTCGGTGGGGTTCACAGCGTCCTGCGTGGTCACCTCCCTCCAGTCCCGGCACTGTGGCATGCGGTCCCGCTGCTGCCGCCGGCTGCTGGGGCGAGGGTTGACAAGGGCCAGTCAGAGGTGTGGGTGGGAGGGCCCTCAGGGGTACGGTTGAGCCTGTCATATTCAGGGTCATCTTCTGCATTGTGTGCGTAAGGCTGGCCTTTGGCTGGGGTGAGCAAGAGGGGAGGAGCATGTGCTGCTGGAATACTGTCTCCCACTCTTTTTTTGTTTTTTTAATAATATATTTTATCAATTTTTTACAGAGAGGAAGAGAGAGGGGTAGAGAGTCAGAAACATCGATGGGAGAGAAACATCCATCAGCTGCCTCCTGCACACTTCCTATTGGGGATGTGCCCGCAACAAGGTACATGCCCTTGACCGGAATTGAACTTGGGACCTTTCAGTCCTCAGGCTGATGCTCTATCCACTGAGCCAAACCAGTTAGGGCTCTTTTTAATTTTTATTGATTTCAGAGAGGAAGGGAAAGGGAAATAGAAACCTCAATGATGAGAGAAAATCATTGACTGCCTGTCCTGCACCCCCACCACTGGATCGAGCTCACAACCGGAATCGAACCCAGGACCCTTCAGTCTACAGGCCAACGCTCTATCCAGAGCCATACCAGCCACCCAAGTCATTGTAAGTGAGCGTGGCCAGCAGGGACAGGCTCCCTGCTTAAAGCTGTGGCCTCGGCAAAGACACGTCCCTTCCCAGATCCCACTCCTCGGAGGAGCTTGTGAGCGTGGGCATGCGCCATGGGGCTCAGAACAAGTCTGTGAAAGGGGCCCAGCACTGCCCGCTGGACAGGACGGTCCCCTGGGCGCCACAGGCACACCCTTGGGTCTCTGACGATACAGCTCTGGGCTGGCTCTCCGGCCAGGTGGGTGGGCCCGAATGCAGGGGCGCCTGAGCCTTGCTCAGATGGGATGATGCCAGGGGCTGGCTTCAGAGCCATGGTGACTGGGTTTGCGTTTAGAGCAGGGCTCTTGGGAGGGGTGTGGGTAGTGAGTGGGGGTCATGGCTGAAGTGGAGGACAGGGCTGGAAAGCGGGGACACAGGCGGAGCCACACTCACAGGCTGCGCTGGGCAAAGGTCTTGCAGGGGGTCCACGGCCGCCAGTACCACTGGACGCTGAGAGGAGGGGGCACGCCGTAGGCGGTGCAGGTGAGGGCCTGGCGACTGTGGCGCGAGTATATGCTGGGGGAGGAGGCCTCCTTCTCATGGATGCTGGGAGGCACTAGGGGCACAGGCAGGCAGCTGGTCAGCCGGCCACCCCCGCCAGCCACCCTAGCCCTTCCACCCCACCCGCCGAGCCCCGCCCGCCCCACCCCGCCCCCACCACCGATCCCGGATCCCCACACCACCCAGCCAACCGACCAGCCCAAGCACCCATCACCCCACCCTATCCCCCATCAGCCCCGCCTAGCCCCGCCAGCCCCACCCCAACCGTAGCCCCTCCAGCCCCCACGCATCCGATCCCCTCCATCCCCATCCATCCCCACCATCCTACCCCCCATCCCCACCCATCCTATCCCCCCATCCTCTCCCACCATCCCCTCCATCCCCACCATCCTCTCCCATCCAGCCATCCCCTCCATCCCCACCATCCTCTCCCATCCTATCCCCTCCCATCCCCACCATCCCCTCCCATCCTATCCCCTCCCATCCTATCCCCTCCATCCCCACCATCCCATCCCCTCCATCCCCTCCCATCCCCACCATCCTCTCCATCCCCACCATCCTATCCCCACCCATCCTATCCCCTCCATCCCCACCATCCCCTCCCATCCTATCCCCTCCATCCCCTCCATCCCCTCCATCCCCACCCATCCTATCCCCTCCATCCCCTCCATCCCCTCCATCCCCACCATCCTATCCCCTCCATCCCCTCCATCCCCTCCATCCCCACCCATCCTATCCCCACCCATCCTATCCCCTCCATCCCCACCATCCTATCCCCTCCATCCCCTCCATCCCCACCATCCTATCCCCTCCATCCCCTCCATCCTATCCCCTCCATCCTCTCCATCCCCTCCATCCCCTCCCATCCTATCCCCTCCATCCCCACCATCCTATCCCCTCCATCCCCACCATCCTATCCCCTCCATCCCCTCCATCCCCACCCATCCTATCCCCTCCATCCCCTCCATCCTATCCCCTCCATCCTCTCCATCCCCACCCATCCTATCCCCTCCATCCCCATCCCCTCCCATCTCCTCAATCCCCTCCATCTCCTCCATCTCCTCCAGCCCCTCCATCCCATCCCCTCCCATCCCCCCAACCCCTCTCATCCCCCCCGCCCCCCGCCCCCCTCCACCCCCCCCTACCGTTCACCACCAGCTCCAGGCTGATGTTGCGCTTCAGGCCGGCCATGGAGTTCCACAGGGCGAGGCTGTATTCGCCTGCGCTGGCCTCGGTCACCTCCTTGAGCACCAGGGCGTGTGGACTGTGGCGCCCCAACACGGCCTTTCCGTCCTTGTACCTGGCCAGGGAAGGGTTCAGAGCGCTCTGTGGGCCCCACCCCCCTCCTGCCTGCCTTCCCTCCACCCCCAGCCCTGCGACTGGAATGCACTGTTGGGAGCAGGATCCATGAGGCCAGGAGGTGCTGGGTGCAGGGAGGGCTGCGGACCTGCCCGGGAACAGATGGCCTGAGGGCTGTGGAGGTGGCCAGGCACAGGCATGGGCACCCCCACAGGCTCAGGAGCTGAGGCCTGCGACAGGGCTTCCCTCAGCGGGTGAGCTACTGCCCGTCTGCGGCCAGGGCCAGCCTCCGGCAGGCAGCCAGCCTCCAGGCCCACAGGCCCTGTCCCCGACCCACGGGTGTCAGTGAAGGGGAGAGGCGCAGTCCCCGGTGCAGCCTGGACCCTTGCCTGCTGGGGCCCTGCTCCTCCTGGAGCTCGAATTCCCCGCCCCCTCCCTCCTCCACGTACCCAAGCACCACTCATCAGACAGGCCTGTGACCGGCGCCTCGCCCGGTTCTGCTGCCTGTTCCCGGCTCTCCGCGGCCATGCCCTCCCACCGAGCAGGCCTGCGCCCTCACCGCCGGCCATGCCCTCCCACCGAGCCGGCCTGCGCCCTCACCGCCGGCCATGCCCTCCCACCGAGCCGGCCTGCGCCCTCACCGCCGGCCATGCCCTCCCACCGAGCCGGCCTGCGCCCTCACCGCCGGCCATGCCCTCCCACCGAGCCGGCCTGCGCCCTCACGGCCGGCCATGCCCTCCCACCGAGCCGGCCTGCGCCCTCACGGCCGGCCATGCCCTCCCACCGAGCCGGCCTGCGCCCTCACCGCCGGCCATGCCCTCCCACCGAGCCGGCCTGCGCCCTCACCGCCGGCCATGCCCTCCCACCGAGCCGGCCTGCGCCCTCACCGCCGGCCATGCCCTCCCCCCGAGCCGGCCTGCGCCCTCCCCGCCGGCCATGCCCTCCCACCGAGCCGGCCTGCGCCCTCACCGCCGGCCATGCCCTCCCACCGAGCCGGCCTGCGCTCTCACCGCCGGCCATGCCCTCCCACCGAGCCGGCCTGCGCCCTCACCGCCGTGTCCCTGCTGCCGAAGCGGGGCCCAGGGCCTGTCTGCTGCGTGTGTGAGCCCACAGGGGCCCCCGGTCCTGAGCTGGCAGGGCTGCAGGCAGTGCCTCCGCACCCCAGCTCTGGGCTCTGCCTGGGAACACAAGGTCCCCACCAGCCGGGCGCCTTCCCGGGCGGGCGGACAGGCCAGAGGCCCAGGAGGGCACCGCCTCCGGCAGAGACCAGCAGTGAGGGGCTGCAAGGGCCCTTCTCAGCGTGACACCACAGCCCACCCCGGAGGACGTGACTCGCTGGGTCACAGGCAGGGCAGCTCTGGCGCAGTCCTGAGTCTGCCACCTGCCACCTCCGCGATCCTAGCGAAAGCCTTCACTGCCGCTTGCCTCCTGTCCTCATCTGAAAACCCCATCTGAAAGGCAATGCACCTTCTGGCCCTGGCTGGTGTGGCTCAGTGGGTAGAGTGTCGGCCTGTGGACTGAAGGCCCCAGATTCGATTCCGGTCAAGGGCACATACATGCCTGAGTTGCAGGCTTGATCCCCAGTAGGGGGTGAGCAGGAGGCAGCCGATCAATGATTCTCCCTCTCAACACTGATGTTTCTATCTCTCCCTCTTCCTCTCTGAAAATATATATTTAAAAAGAAGAAGTGAAGTGCACCTTCTGGCCAACGTCACGAGGCCGTGAGCTGGCGCCGGGTGTCAGCCTCCCGGGCGCACACGGAGCGAGCTTCGGAGCTGAGGGCCGGCCTGGACGGCTGGACGCCCATTGGTTTCCACCCGTTCACTTACTCAGCCAGCACACACCCTGCAGAGTGGGCCCTGTGGGCTGTGGGGGCCATGGTGACCACTAGGGTCCTGGGAAAAGGTCTCCGCCAACAAGGGCCGCCGAGCACTCATTGGAGGAAGATGTTGGCCGAGTGAGAGGCCAGCTGCGGTGGGAATGGTGCTACGCAGCCAGCGGGCTGAGGGTCAGCCTTGGGCCGATCCCAGGAGCAGCCCAGCCGGCCACCCGGCGCCGGGCCAGTCCTGAGGGCCTTGGTCCTCCGAGGCAGGGCCAGGCGCCAGGGGCTCAGAAGGCCGCCCTGGGAGCGAGCCTCCCAGTGCATCACTGCTTGCCAGGACCCTGCCGTCAGCCCTGGTCTTACACCAGGTGTCCCCAGTGGCCCCCAAAGTCTGTGGTCTCAGAGGCAGGTCACCCCAGGCCCAGGCCCAGGGGTGCTGGGCCTCCACAAGAAGCCTCTCCCAGCCAGTGGGCTCCTGCCGAGCGCCAGAGCCCGTCTGCTCTGGGCTGCGCTTCGGGAGAGGCTCTGCCTGGAGCGAGGTGCCAGGGGGAGGGCACGGCTCCTCTGGCAGCTGGGGAAGGACAGAGCGGGAACGCCCTTCCCCTCTCCTGGCCTCTCCTCATCGTGGTGGCGGAGGACAGGTTAGAGTGTGACGCCCCAGGGCTGGCTGGGGGCTGCTCAGACAACCTGAAGGTGCTTGGGGTGCTGGGCCTTCCCGAGTTGTTGGGGAGCTCTCAGGAGTGCTGGCAAGGGCAGAGCCACCACCGAGGGACCCCCTCCCTGACCCTGTGCCTTACTTTAGGGGCTCCAGCAGCCTGCGGGCCTCCACGAAGCCCTCGCTCACTGCCACGCGACTCAGGCCTGGCAGAGGCCTGGCTCCACAACCGCCTGTGAACCCCTGTGGCATCTCTGAATTCTAGATGGGAGGCCCTGAGGGGGCCAGCTGCGCGGAGGCGGCCTGGGAAACCTGCAGCCATCGCCGCAGGCAGGGCGGGCCCTGTGATGCGCTCGGGGCGGCGGGACCTCAGATGCTGAGCCTGTGCAGGAGGCGGTTGGAGCCCCTAGCTGCGCCCACCACACCCACACACACCTGGAGGCCGGCATTTACTAGTTTTCACAGTTTGCGGCACCCAGGCTGGATTATCGCATTATACGCACGCTCCTCGGTGCCTTCAGAGGGGCCCTCACAGGCTCAGGGCACAGGCCCTGCCTGGGAGGACGCTGCCTCCCCCCCAGGTCAGCGGGGCCTGCAGGTACCGGGGGGGCAGGAGCCAGGGCCGTACCATTGAAACTCCGGTGGGGGGTACGCAGCCAGCTTCACGGGCAGCTTCACCAGCTTGTCTCCTGCTGTGGCTTCCAGGACCGGGCCCTTGAGCCACTCAACGCTGATGAAGGGTTTCTCTGCCAGATGGGAGCATCTGTGTGAATCCCGGGCTGGCACCACTGACCACCACCGCCCCGGGACTCAGCCACAGCCTGCACCCCGAGGACAGACCCTTGCAGACTGGGGCTCACGCTGCCCAGACAGGCCATCCACCCACAGCCCTCCCTTGCCCCGGGCTGGACTTCATACTGCTTGGTGCACTATGACCTCTGACCCTGGCCCAGGCTGCACAAGGACCCTCGCTCCACAGGCCCAGTGACCACCCAGGCCCCGCCGGTCCCGCCCAAGCCCGGACGCACCGTGCACAATGACCTCGGTGCTCTCCCGGAGCCGCTGGACGCCGTTGTTGGCCTCGCACGTGTACGGGCCCAGGTCGTGCTGGCTGACGTTGTGGATGGTCAGGATGCTGGAGAGCTCCGTGTGCGTCTGCTGGGAGCGCCGCTCCGGCACCCACTTCCCCCGTTCGGCCTGCCCGTGCCAGGGGAAGCGCAGGGTCAGAGCAGCAGGCCCCCAGGGCTGCCCGCCCAAGGCACACACGCAGCCCACTGGCAGTGGCCGCGGAGCTGGGACACCCCGGAGCTGTCCCCGGGGAGGGAAACTTCCCATCAGACCAAGGCTCCTGGGGCAGCGCTGAGCTGCACCCGCTACACAAAGGCAGTGAGAGCCAGGCCGGCAGGGATGGGACGCCGGGAGGTGGCTCGGCACAGCCCTGGCAGAGCTGCCGGCCCTACCTGCTTCCCTGGGTAGTCCCAGTCAAAGGTGACGCCCGAGTTGAACTCAGCCCACACGGTGCAGTTCAGGACCAGCTTTTCCCCAACGAGCAGCTCCATCGACTTCTTGGGGAACAGCTGGATGTCATAGAGCTCGTTGCCTGGCGACACATGAGCAGTGACCCCGGGCCCCTCCCCAGCAGGGCACACAGAGTGCCCCATCACTGAGAATCTGGGGTCCCCATCTCCCCGCGCAGGCTTCCTCCCGGGCGGGCCCAGGGCAGCCCCACCTGTGATGTGCACGATGAAGGGGTTGGACAGGAAGGCCTGGCCGCCCCGGGCGGTCTCGCACTGCAGGTACAGGGTGTCGCGCAGCAGGGGCGTGGGCACACGCATGCCCCGGCGGTCATCCCACACCACGTCCTGCCCGTCGGGCCGCAGCACCGAGCTTGGCTGCTGGGACATGGTGCCGTCAGCTCCCGGCTGCCCCTTCCTCCTGGCCAGGCCAATGGCTGCCTTCCCCAGGGAGAGGCTAGGCCGTGGGGGCGGGGGAGGGGGCCGTACCGAGCGCAGGGTGACGTTGAGGCCAGGGATGGACACCAGGCAGGGCACCCACACGGAGTCCTTCCTGTCGACCAGGAGCGTGCCTGGCTTGTTGATGAAGGGCTGCTCCGAGTCTGCAGAGAGAGCGCCTTTTGTGGGAAGGGCAGGCGGAGCTTGGGGAGGTCTGGAGGCCAGGGGCGGGGGTGGGGGCCATCTGCCCCTCCAGGTCCCTGCCCGTCGCCTCGTTGGCTGCGGGAGCGCGCGGGGCGGGCCCTCACCTCTGACGAACACGTAGGTGCTGGCGGCCGTGGTGCCCTCGATGCGGGCCTTGATGTACTTGTAGTAGCAGGCATAGCTGCCCGTGTCGTTGGCGTGGGCCTCGGGCAGCAGCAGCGCCTTGCAGTAGGGCCGGGCATCCGTGCCTTCGCAGTCGCGAACGAACCCCAGATCTTCACTGTCCTTTTCCCCCGTGGCTGGCGCTTCCTGAGCCCCTGGCCAGGCCCACTGGAGGGGGTGCTGCCCCCTGGCAGAGGACGCAGAGGTCAAGAAGAGCCAGGGCTTGCCCACAGCTTGTCCCACCGGAGGCCAGGCCGCCGGGTGCTGGGGCACACACCGTGGACCCAGCCCCTGGGGGCACCGAGTCCCGGCCCTGCCTGGCTCCGGGCCTCTGTGCGGCAGGCTGGCCTCAGGGGGCCGGCCTCGGTCTGAGCTGGGCTGCAGGGTAACATGTCTGGGGCCTTTGAAATTGGCTAACTGGCCCGGGCTGACCAGTGGCTGCTGACAGGGGTGCAGGGTGACCCGGGTGGGTGTAGGGTGACTGGTCTGTGGTCCATGTGAAATGACAGGGTGGCTGTGGGGGAGGTGGGTGCAGGTGCCTGTGTCTGCAAGCGCCCAGGCCCCAGGGAGGCCCACTAGGCCTCAAGGCCTCTCTGCCCGGGAGGAGCTGCCCCCTGGGCTCTCACCACCACCTCCGGCCTCAGTTCTTAGTCTCCTCTGCCTGACAGACAGAGGGGCCCTCTGGCTGGGGGCGGAGTACCTGCAGGAGATGGACAGGCTGTCGTTGGAGTCAATGACGTGTGTCTCCTCCGTGATGTTCAGGGTCGGGGGGCTCATGGAGTAGCCACTCACCAGGCCTGGGGTAGGAGACAGGGTCAGTGTGGCGCTGGGTCATGAGTTAATGTGACAATGTCAGTCAGGAGCAGACCCCCTAGGGCAGGGGCCCCGAGCACCAGGATTAGTGCTCCCTGCCCTTGGCTACTGCCCAGGCCCCACCCAAGGGATCCAGCCTTCCGGGACTCAGCTGCCAGCAGAGGTAGACGGGGGATATTGCAAACCTTATCCTGCATTGGGGAGGCTTGCAGCAGGTCACCTTGGCCGTGTGCACCCCACACACCTGCCCAAAGGCCCCTCCCTTCTGCCTGTGAGGCCTGTGCAATGCAGACCGTCCCCAAGCGTGCTCAGAACTGAGGCCTCAGCTTTCCAGGACCTCATGCTCCGCCAGGTCCCGTGGAGTCCACCTCACGTGTCCTCAGGCCCAACTTGTTCAGCCTCCAGGCCCCACTGGCTGCCCTAGCTCCTCGGCTCCACCTGCTTCAGCCCCGCATGCTTCCCACAGGGCTTGTCCCCAAGCACACAATAACTCGCCCAGCCCTCCAGGACCCTGGCCTGGACCCTCAGCTCCTCACCCACCATCCTACCAGCGTGATGGCGTGTGTGTGTGTGTGTGTGTGTGTGTGTATACGTGTCCAGCTGTGGGCATGGATCTGTGTTTTTATGGGGTTGGTGTGTGTAACGTGTCTTTGACATGTCAGTGTATGTATACACATGGACTTTGACATGTTAGTGTGTGTGCACGAGTGTGATACTAGCAGGCCCGGGAGGTCTGGGTCTGGCACTCTGGCAGATGTATCCTGCCAGGACCATCTGAGACAACAGGAAGAGGACTGCATGGCTGGAGGCCCAGGGCTGTGTCCTGTCCCTCCCCCCAAGTCCCTGTCCTCCTGGGGGGCAGGGCCCACCACCCTGCCCCTGCCCCTTCCACCTCAATAGATCCAGCTCCTCTGCCCTCCCAACCCAGCTCCCCGACGCCCAGACCTCCCCCTCGCCAGCTGGTTCTACACCCCCAAACCCGCACTCCACCACCTCCCTGGGAAGAGGCCCTGGGCGGTGCCCTTCATATACCAAGATCTTGGTGTAGCACCGATGGACAAGACGGCCAGGGCTGGAAAACCCTCCCGCAGCATCTAGCCCCACTGCACAGACGGGAACTGAGGCCGTCAGCAGGAGCGTGCCCTCCCAGAGGCTCCCTGACCGCTGCCAAGTCCCTCCTGCGCGGAGGCCCTAGGGGCTTCTCCACCTGGTGGTGCCTGGCCTCGCATGCACACCAGGGCTGCTGGAGAGGGGGTACCCACAGTGAGGAGGCCCTCCGCCTTTGTGAGGGCCAGGAAGAAATCGGGAAGGCAGCTCTGACCAGGCCTCAAAGGACAAGTAGGGTTTCTCAGGCAGCGGGAAGTGAACAAAGCCCCGGCAGGCAGACGGCTGGCCTCTGAGCGGCGAGAAGGGGCCTGATGGCTTAGGCTGGGACCAGAGGGGAATGAGTGGCTGGCATGCGGTCACCAGAGGAGAGCCTCAGCAGCCAGCACCCTGCCCTGGGAACAGGAATCCCCCAGTGAGCCCGGGTGCCCCAGAAAGGCTGAGGGTGGATCCCCTCTTTGGGGTGCACATCCAGGGCACACATGGTACCCCTAGCTATGAGGCTGTAGCAGGGTCACACATGTCAAAGGCTTCCCTTTGCTTCCAAGATAAAGCAGGGCAAGTCAGGCCACTCCCTTCTGCCCTCTCTGCAGCCTCACACATCTCTGAGAGGCATGGACCTCCCACCATCATCCCGAAGTGCCAGGCTTCTCATCGCCTGAAGTCGTTCGCCCAGGACATTTGTGCTCCTCCTTCCTGAGAAGCTGACTTGTTCGCATCTGGCTCATGCTTCCCTTCCTATGGAGCAGACTGTTACTCAGACAGTGTCAGCCTCCTGCTCGATGGATAGGAGGATGGGTGGATGATGAGTGGATGGGTGGATGGTGAGTGGGTGGGTGGATGGATGGATGGATGGATGGTGAGTGGATGGATGGTGAGAGGATGGGTGCTGAATGGACGGATGGATGAGTGGATGAATGTATTGATGGGTGAATGGATGGATGGATAGATGGTGAGTGAGTGGATGGTTGGATGGATGGATGGTGAGTGCATAGGTAGATGTATGGATGGATGGGTGGATGATGAGTGGATGGATGGATGGATGGATGGATGAATGGATGGGTGTGTGGATCAGTGAATGGATGGATGGATGGATGATGAGTGCATGAGTGAATGGATAGATGGTTAGTAGATGGGTGAATGATGGATGGGTGGATGGATGGATGGGTTGGTGGATGGGTGGATGGATGGATGGTGAGTGGATAGGTGGATGGATGGGTGGTGAGTGGATGGGTGGATGGATGGGTGGGAGGTGGTTGGAAGTGTGGGTAGATGTGTAGAATGGATGGATAGATGTGTAGGTGAGTGGATAGACAAGTGAATGGGGGTGAATGGATGGATGGGGGACTAGAGCTTGTAGGAGCTTCCTCCCTAGAGGCCACCATACCACCAAAGGAAGCATCTGCCTCCTGTATTAATGCTGTATCAAAGGAGAAGCATCCATTGTGCTTGTCAACCTTTTTACCCATCCAGCTGAGTCTCTTCTTTGTGGCCATAGGCCCTGAGTTGCAGAGCTGTCCCTCTGTGTTCACTCACTTCCATGGGAACCTGCGTGATCAGCAGACTTGGCCGTACATATCACTGCTCTCCATCCTTCCTGCTTAACTGAAACCTGGCTTTCTGAGGACAGCACTGGCCTGTTGTGGTGGCCGCTCTCCGAGCACACACTGACACTGCAGAACTCCTGTGGCCACCTCCCCTTCCCCCAGGGCAACACCCACTCCCCACTAAAGCTGTCATCGGCTGTTGTCCTGGTCACTTCCCCTCATTCTCTGCTCCCGGCTCCCCAGCCCCCTCCACCTAACTCAGGCCATTCTCCATGACTTCAACATCCACATGGATGACTCACCAGCACCCTGGCCTTTTCAGTCATCATCTCTACGTCCTTCCCCCGGCCCCCAAGGCCCCTCACTTCCCGGGTACAGCCTGTTCCTAATCCTCCCCAGAAACTGCACCATCACCAAGCGCCTGTCTTCCTGAGTGTTTCTTCTGCCTCCTCTGCCTCCTGCTAGGTGTCCTTCAGCTGCATCAGCACTCCAAGGCCAGGGACCCCTCCCCATTGTCACACCCTCTGGCCTCACCCTTATCCTGAACAGCATGGCTCATGGGCCATCACTGCCTCTCACCCTCCATTCCAACCCTGGGACATCACGTGGCCCTCAGTGGCTCAGCACTTCGGCCTCCGCTTTCTTTTCCAGGGGCTGACCTTAACCGGGCCTGGGCTGCAGGTCAGGTCTTCTTCCCCCTCCTGCCCTCTCAGCCTTACCGAAGTGAAGCCATTAGATGGAGACACCCCATCTTTCCAATTCAAATCCCACAAACCCAGCCTGACACTCCAACTCCCAAGGTCAAGCCCTCCGTCAGGTCAAGGACCCCAGCCCCCTGTACCTGACTCCTGCAGGTTATTCTTTCTCTTCTGATCACCAGTATTTCTCTGTGCGATCATCTCCTGTCTTATAAAAAAAATAAAATCCCAGTTCCTTGGTCCTACACTCCCTTCCAGCCACTGTCCACCCCCACCCGGCTCTCTCACTGTTCTCTCTTCTCAGTGCTCATCCTCCCACTGTGTGCAGCCCCCGCCTGCTCCACAGGATCCCAGGCTGTAGGACGAGTAGGCCCTCGTGGGCAGGCAGCAGAGCTGTCCCTTCTGTGCTGCCTTCTGTGACCTCTCTCCCCTCATCTTCCTTCTTCCCCTCTGCCTACCACCAAATGCAGTCGCCTCTCTCTCTGTTCTCCACCATCCTGTCTCCTAAATGTCCAGACATCCTCAAATTCTCCCTCTCCCAACTCGTTTAAAGGATCCAGCTTTAAACTGTGTGGTCATCCCAGAGACCCCGAGTTCCACGTTTCTGATACTGAACTCCAGACTCACACGTCTCCACCCTGCCAAAGACTCCTTTAAAAAAAAATTTAATTAATGGATTAGTTAGTTTTTAAATATATTTTTATTTATTTCAGAGAGAAACAAGAAGGAGAGAGAAACATCAATGATGAGAGAGAATCAATGATCGGCTACCTCCCGCACACCTCACACTGGGGATCGAGCCTGCAATCCGGGCATGCGCCCTTGGCTGGACTTGAACCCACAGGCTGACACTCTATCCACTGAGCCACACCAGCTAGGGCCAAAGGCTCCTCTTTGATAGCGTCCATCTCCTGGCTAGCCCTTCCGTCCACACCGAGCGTGTCTGACCGGGTCCCGCTCTTCTGGGGCCTGGGCCTGCCGGCTGCACTCCCGCACGGTCCCTTGGGCGCTCCAGTCCTCCACTCCTCACATAGTTGTCAACTTAAAGGCATGTCTGCGCTTTCCTGTCAGTGACTTCCCACAAACATTCAGGAAAATCCAAACTCCTGACCGTGGACGGGCCCCGCCCCCTCTCCATACCTTCTGGCCCACTTCCTCTCCTGCTCACACCCCTGTCACCGCGGAGGCTCTTCCGTAATACGCTGTGCTCCTTGAAACCCCAGCCCAGCGCCACTCCTGTTTGCCTCCTCACATGACCCACACAGCCGGCTGCTCGCCTTCCGCTTAGCCATGACCTCCTCATCTCAACCTCCTGGTTGTTTACTTCATCCTTCTTATCACAGTTTGTCTAAGTTGTGTTTTTCCAATTCCTCTCCTGGACAGTTAGGTCTCACTGGGGTCAGAAAGAAGACGGGTCTCTTTTCTACATCACCCTGTGCCTAGCACAGCACCTGGCCCAGAGTCAAGGTCCCATAAATATTTGTTTAATGGGTGGATGGATGGATGAATGGATGGATAGATGGGTGGATGAGTGGATGGGTAGGTGGATGGGTGGATGGGTGGATGAGTGGATGGGTGGGTGGATAAATGGATGGGTGGATGAGTGGATGGGTTGGTGGATGGGTGGGTAGATGG